ATTTAAAAATTAACACAAACATTTTTTTAGCTAGCATATGGAAAAAAGTAACAGGTACACCCCAGTTTTTGATAGTTTGGTAGTTTTTAATTTTTTATTATGTTGTCCCAGGGATATGCAATAAAGTGATTTTTATTTTGTTTTCTCCAAAAAGGAGGCAAGATACGAAAAAAATTCAAGAGACAAAAAAGTATTTTTAGTTGCTTAATGTAATGCGAAAAAAATTATAAAAGTTTTAAAAAAGTCAGTGGCACACATTTTTTTTATCAAAAATATTGGTGCCCCCAGGACGCCACTGGACTTAATAATTTTTATTTGTGTTATGTTACATTTTGATTGCAGACATTTCCTCTACATTCTTCCATAAATAAGTTGAAATTCTTTCAATTTTGTATCTGTTTTCGTGGCTAATAATGTTTAATTTGTTCCCAGATGTCAAAAAACCATCCAAGTACGCCATGTCTGTGCAAATACAACAGAATATAAACAAGATGCTGTTGGTGATATCGTCGGTTTTCATAGCATTAAACTTTCCAAGGTAAACATTTTTTCATTCGTGTACTGTTGTTTAATTGCGAAGATATGTTGCGCCATTGCCACCTATATTTTGAAGTATCGCGTGACGTCACAACAGTGGTGATACATTGCCACCACTGTCATTAGACACCAAGTGACGATAAAACGAAACCTGCTTTTATCTAGACAAATTCAGTAAAATCAAGTACTCCTATCAATCACAATTGATCCCCACTGCTAGTGACGTCATTGAATAATAGCGATTTAGTTGTCAACCCTTATAGGTGGTAATTTCAGCTGTATATACTTTAAAACTGTCCCTATTGAACATATTTCGTTGCAGCTATCTGCTGAGGCTCTGCGGCTACTTCGAGGAAATGCTGGAAGAGTACACCATAAAGAACCTGGGCTGCGCCCAGATGTTCGCCATGCTGCTGTACTACACCAACTTCAGCATCAATTTCCTGCTTTACACCATGTGCGGCGAGACCTTTAGGCTCTGTTTAAGAACACTATTCAAGAAAATGATTTACAAGATAATGAACATGAATAAATAAACGAATCCAGTAGTGGGCCTAGTACGTGTATAGTCAATAAATAAATCAGATTTTTGTATGTTTGTATATTGACTGTCAATGATGAATTTGTGTATCGGGGCCCATGCGTGCGCAGAAGGATCGTTACATACACGGTGAGATTTGTCCGAATAATAAGTCGAGGGTGTGTGGTGTCCTTTAGAGTCATATTTGTAACATATACGTAACAAAAAAAAAGGATAGAAAGGAGATATTGATTTGTTACATCCTTATATTATGTACTGATCCTTCTGTTTTATATACTCGGCAACAAAATTAAGGGAGCAGGAATATTTCCAATTTTTTTTTAGTGATTTCTTAAAGGCTGCAAATTTGTGAATAATGGTCGTATCGACAAATAAAAAAGGCATTTTAAAGCTTGAAGATTCCAGCTTTGAAATCTCGAGATGAAAAATTTTTTTGATTTTTTTCTCGATACGACCTTTATTCACGAAGTCACAACCTTTCAAAAATCTCTAAAAAAATTTGGGAATTTTTCTGCTCCCTCAATTTTATTGCCAAGTTTATGAACCCTGTTAATTAAGCAGAAAAATTATCGTATATAAATGTGTATATACCAGTACATTGTATTTTATCATAAACTTTTTTGATGAAATATATTTTAGCAAAATATTAAACGCTTTTTCTTGAATGTAGTTAGAGAAGGTCAAGTCGCGCTTGAAGCGAATTTTTTGTGAGGAAAAACGAGGGCGAAGTAAACAATGTTAATTGAAAAATATGTTTTTTATATATTCACGCACTCAAGGTTTTATTACAGGACTAACGGGCATGTAGAAAAAAAATGTTTTCTCTAGAAAGTAGGTGAGTACAAAACACGTCGAGTTTTATCAAGGACATCGATTTGTTTTAATTGTTCTTGTAAGTGCTTTCACACAAATACTTTTCCTTTCACTTCCAATTTTACCTCGAAACAAACACGTTTGAGGATATAAAAAATATCCGTCTATTAATTACTCTAAAATCCTCAAAATATTGTTGTCAAGAACATTTCCATCTTCCACCCCCCAATTCCAGGTTACGTAGGTAGGTATATACATATTTTGCTCCTTTTACTCTCGCGTACAGTTCATTGTCATCATCGAGTCAAGGCATTTCAATTTCCCTCCCCGTCTGAATAAATGAGACGTTATCTCTTTGCAAACAACGTAACTAACTGCAGCCAGGGATTACGGACTATTATATTCGAGTCACAGGTTCCCACCCTCCAGACGAAAGGACAAAAAAACTTTCAGTGATATTTTTAACAAAATAAGAAACAAAATCTTTGAAGAGACGAGGTAAACAGCTGCATAAATGAAGATCGACGGTGCCTCGAAATAACAATTTTAACTTTCAAGACTTTTAACAGACGTAGAATTAATTTATTGTAACGTATTTATAACTGTTGAAAATGTTTTTTAACAGTTTGGCCGCCGCCGTCGCCGTCAGCGTGGTTATCCTGAAGTACAGTAATTTAATTAGGTTTTCTCGTACGTGAAACTCGAACTATTTGTTACAAGATTCATCGATCCCATAAACTAAATAGTCGAAGTTTTAAAGCTCCCATCCGTACGAATGTCGTTAGTTATCCAGTTTCGTCTCTCAAGTCGATAACCAATCCAGAATAATAAATATTTGCGAAGTTGGAAGATTCGTTTTTATTTCTTTTAATGTTTTCGGGTAGTTTTATTTCAAGTAGAAAAAGAACAATCCCGATTACTTCGAAAGTATTATATTAGTTTATTGAAGAACTTTTAACAACCCTACATGCATTGTCCCACGTGCATTGCATTGATTATTTACTGCGAAGTGGAACAAAGAAGAAGAAGAAGGAGAAGGCAAGGGAGAGGAAGAATAAAACGACGAAGAATTAGATGAAGAAGAATCAAATTCCGATGATAGTTTTTGTAATTTTGACTACACTGAATCGAATTTAAAATCTTCAGTTTTCGATAATTCTTCAGTAACTCATAAAAGGAAATCGTTTTAGGAAAAAATGACACTTGTTTGGACCGGAGTGTTAGCCCAAAGCTTTGTAAAAAGACGGCAGCCATTTTGGTTCTTCGTATATACAAAAAAAAAAAAACAAAAAATTTACATTTTATATGGGGTATACTATACAATACAGGGTGTTAATTAAGTATGTACAATAAATTCAACAGACGATTATTTGAGTGCTTATAAGACAAAAAGTTTATAGAAACATTGGTCCGCAGACGCTTCGTCTTCAAGATACAGGGTGTTAAAAAATTATAGAAAAAACATTTTTTTGTACATTTCCTAGCACTTTTTCGTGAATTTTTGCTATTATTGACCTGTTTTTTTTTTGAGGTTAGGAAATTCCTGCGATGTGATAGCTCAATTCTGACACCGGATTAGTGATCAGGAGCCAAAAATACTACGGATAACACATGTCGCATGAAAAGTACAGACAACTTTTTTTTTGTGTGGCTGTTTGTAATTAAATATTTTCTGGCATAAAAATAAAATCAAAATTTATGTTGAACATACACCCTAAACCAACCCTGACGGTTTGTCGCAATCAATTTTTGCTTGCGTCAGTTGTGATTGATGTAAAAATGACAGAATTTTTGACAGCAAATTCAAAGAATTTTCATGACCCATTTATCGGAACGATAAATTTCCATTACTTTTTCTAATATTTTGCCAATAAGCATTTTTCACTCTCTCGAATAAAATGTAGAAATCTAGTAAACGTAGCGTTATTTTTCCAGCATCTGCCCAATCTTTCTTTCAAACGCTTTTATATACAGGGTGTCCCAAAATTAATGCAACAAAGTTTAGTCACAGATTATTAAGACAAATTTAGGAGACCCGTATTTTTTATTTGTGCCCTCCTTTTTCGGAGTTACAGCCCCCTGAAATCCGCCACAAGAATAGTATTTCTTTTTATATCTCAGAACCATGTTGTACGAGAATCATTAAATTTGGGACACAGGGATTTTATGACATGTGGAATCTGACAGTGCCGCGCTTTTTGGCGGGGAACCCACTTAAGATAATTTTTCGTGAGCCCCCATGTCTTTGGAGCCAAAAAAAATTACTACTAGTCCACTAGACAACCATCGAATTTAGAACATTTTATTTCCTCTTGACATTTTTTCCGTGAAACGCAATGTTTTCGAGAAAAATGGAAAAATGTAATCGGATGTATATCGTGATTCGTGATTCATATAATATATTCATATTCTACATATTAATCGTAGGTGGCTGGCCATTCGATCACGTTTTGCTATTTTTGATATCAAGAGAAAAAAAAGTTTCTAAATTCGATGGCTTTCGAGCGGACTAATAATTTTAAAGAAATTTAAATATGCGACTAATTTTTTTTTCTCCAAAGATAAGGGGGCCCACGAAAAAGCGTCTTAAGGAGGTTCCCCGCCAAAAAGCGTAGCGCTATCGGATTCCACATGTCAAACTCGATTGGCTCCATTTCGGCTGACCTTGAATCACACCGACGCCGAACACAACTCCCTGTGACACCCTATACCTTTCCTATACTCTGGGTCCGCCAGTTACGTCAATTTAGGCGTAATTCAATCACAAAGTTTCGCCCCGCTCCGCCCCCCCGATTACCGCCAAACAACACGTTTTATGACTGCTCCAGACAGCTCCCATTTCGCAGTCTATTCTTTCCGATGCAAACAAACCGTTTGTCCGGTTAAGGCTCTGCGACGGAAAACACCGTCGAATTACGGCCGCACGCCAAACAAGGCGAGCCCCTTAATCGAAAGGAAACTCCCCCGTCGTTTATTATCGAACCCGTGTCACGAGTCCGACGCATAAATTTCCTCGTAATCTACCTCTCAGCCCGTCGATATAGATGAGTTATAACGCCCGGGGGTGACATTAGAAAAACAGGCGGTGTTCCTAAAAATAAAGACTCACCTTTGTTTTCCCAGAGCCGGTCGGGCCTACCAGCATAAGCCCGTGCCGCACGACCGTCGTCTCGTACAGCTGGATGACCTTCTTCACGTAATCTTGAAAGGAAAATGATTACTTAGGCAGGTCAAAGATAACGTAGGTCCTTAGCAAGGATATACTGGGTAAAGGGTGCGTTATTACCTTCGAGAAAGTTAATAAAAAATATTCATGTTAAGAGTTCCACGCACGAACAGTTTGTCTCCCGTCGTACATATCCGAATATTTGCGCGAGAAAGTTTTATTCTGGTCCATAAAAGTTGGACATAAAAAGACGAAATAAGCGAGCTTCTGTACTCGGAGATTTTTTTTATAGAAAAGTTTATAGATTTTGAGGTCAGAAAATATGTGTAACATGCGCAACCACCAGCGTTTTGAGATATACAGGGTGTCCCAAAAGTATGGAAATAGCACAATAACTTTCGAAAAATTCATTTTGAGGAAAAATGATTCAGACAAAAAATTTAGGATTTTTCCCTGGCTATTCAATGGCGACCCTAGATTTGACCTTGACCTTGACCTTTAAGGTTATTTCAAGGTCAAGTTAATTTTTTCATATGGGATGCCCTACTTTTGACCCCGGAAATGAAAAGAGCGGAAAATTTTACAGTCCAGATATGTCCTTGACCATTTTCCAAGATGGCGGATCCAAGATGGCGGACGCGATTCCAAAAAATTAACCGATTTACGCTAAATTTGGTATAGGGGGGTTTTTGGGGTCACTGACTACGAATCTGAAATCTGTTTTTGAAGAATTTTAGTCCAAGATGGCGGACGCGATTTCAAAAATCAACCGATTTTTGCCAAAATTTATATAGTGCGGTTTTTGAAGGTGAAGGTCACGGTCAAAGCAAGGGTCACCGTCAGATAGCCAGGGAAAAATCCTACAACGTTAGTTATGGTAATTTTTTTTACAACCCGTTGTTTTCAAGACAGCGCACCAAACCATGCGTGACCTTGATTTGACCTTTAATGACCATCAGAGGTCAAATTCGGAAAATGGTCAAGGACATATTTGAATAAAATTTTCCGCACTTTTCATTTCTGGGGTCAAAAGTAGGGCATCCCATTTGAAAAAATTAACTTGACCTTGAAATAACCTTGAAGGTCAAGATCAAGGTCAAATCTAGTGTCACCATTGAATAGCCGGGAAAAAAATCCTAAATCTTTCGTCTGAATCATTTTTCCTCAAAATGCATTTTTCGAAAGTTATTGTGCTGTTTCCATACTTTTGGGACACCCTGTAGATAAATATAGATGAATTATCGCGTTTTTTGATCAAAAACTGCCAGTATCTCAATAAAGATACATTTTTTCAAAAACGAGTTTCATATAAAAATTGTTCGAAATTTAATTTTCTAAAAAATTGCTCCTATAAAAAATTTCGACTTTCCCAACAGTTTTCATGTATATTTTCAAAAAAGTACAGATTATGGTTAAAATTAATGTTTTAGAGCCAAAGTAATGGTCATTTCATTTTTAAATAACATGTGAATTAAAGAAAAGAAAATTGCGGAAAATTCTTGGAAAATCATATATTTTTCCGAGGTTTGCATATTTATGAGCATCAAACGTATCATTTTATAGGTTTTCGAATTAATTATGCTCTTTTTAATATTTTTCAGAAAAATCTGTTTTTAAAAAACCTAGATATGCAAGTCCATAAAAAATTGTTAAAAATAATAAATAAAAAAAATATTATATTGATCTAATTTTTTTATATTATACCTTTGCAACTCCAGAAAATTCTTTCTTATTGTCATCAAATTTAAATTTTCAATTTTATTACATTACAAATTTTTAGTNTCCAAGATGGCGGACGCGATTTCAAAAATCAACCGATTTTTGCCAAAATTGATATAGTGCGGTTTTTGAAGGTGAAGGTCACGGTCAAATCAAGGGTCACCGTCAGATAGCCAGGGAAAAATCCTACAACGTTAGTTATGGTCATTTTTTTGCAACCCGTTGTTTTCAAGACAGCGCGCCAAACCATGCGTGACCTTGATTTGACCTTTAATGACCATCAGAGGTCAAATTCGGAAAATGGTCAAGGACATATCTGAACGTAAAATTTTCCGTTCTTTTCATTTCCGGGGTCAAAAGTAGGGCATCCCGTTTGAAAAAAATAACTTGACCTTGAAATAACCTTGAAGGTCAAGATCAAGGTCAAATCTAGTGTCACCATTGAATAGCCAGGAAAAAAATCCTAAATCGTTTTACTGAATCATTTTTCCTCAAAATGCATTTTTCGAAAGTTATTGTGCTGTTTCCATACTTTTGGGACACCCTGTAGATAAATATAGATGAATTATCGCGTTTTTTGACCAAAAACTGCCACTATCTCAATAAAGATACATTTTTTCAAAAACGAGTTTCATATAAGTTGTTCAAAATTTAATTTTCTAAAAAATTGCTCCTATAAAAAATTTCGACTTTCCCAACAGTTTTCATGTATATTTTCAAAAAAGTACAGATTATGGTTAAAATTAATGTTTTAGAGCCAAAGTAATGGTCATTTCATTTTTAAATAACATGTGAATTAAAGAAAAGAAAATTGCGGAAAATTCTTGGAAAATCATATATTTTTCCGAGGTTTGCATATTTATGAGCATCAAACGTATCATTTTATAGGTTTTCGAATTAATTATGCTCTTTTTAATATTTTTCAGAAAAATCTGTTTTTAAAAAACCTAGATATGCAAGTCCATAAAAAATTGTTAAAAATAATAAATAAAAAGAATATTATATTGATCTAATTTTTTTATATTATACCTTTGCAACTCCAGAAAATTCTTTCTTATTGTCATCAAATTTAAATTTTCAATTTTATTACATTACAAATTTTTAGTTTTTAATATTCAAAGTAAAAAAAATTCAAACAGGTTTTTCTGGAAATTATTAAAAAAAAACTATGAATTTGATGCTGATAAATATTCAAACCTCGGCAAACTATACAGGGTGATTCATAAATGGTGACCAAGTTTACATAAATACATGTGTCCAATTTCAAATTACTTCACTTAATAGTTTTTAAATTATTTAAAAAAATTAAAAACATTTTTCGTATCTTTTTCACGAAGCGTCCTAGATAGAAACTTTACAGGAAAGACTCCTCTTAAAATTCACCAACGAATACGAGGTTCCATTTTTGGACATCATTTGTGAATCACCCTGTATAAGATTTTTCGAGAATTTTCCGCATTTTTCTTTCCTCTAATTCATCTTTGTTATTTAAAAATGGATCGACCATTATTTTGGTTCCAAAACATTAATTTTCACATAATCCGTACTTCATTTAAAAAATATACGTGAAAACTATCGTTAAAATCGAAATTTTTCATAGGAGCAATTTTGCAGAAAATTTAATTTTGAACAAATCTCAGAGTAAAAAAACTTCGCTCATTTTTTCCTTATTTTCCTGGACTTTTCCGTATTCAGTGAAAATGCAAATAAGTCTAGAAGGTTTTCATTATTTTTTCTTGTAATTCGCATCAACAACACGACAAAAAAATTAAAGGAAATTATAAAGCCTCAAAAAGCTTAAATAAAACAAAAAATCGATCACAACTTTCTTGCAGCTTTTTCAAAAAAATTAAACATTAAAGACCATCACAGATCCTTATAAAAGAGTAGGTTTCAATTTAACTGCTCATTAATTGCGAGTTCTTTATTTCATGGCCTTACGAGGTGTTCTCCAAGGATCGACCTTGGGCCTATAACTATTTAACATGTTTATTAATAACATTGTCAGTAGCTTAAATGTTTTTTTTTTTAGTATAGCTTGGTCCAGTTATTATTGTTAATAAACTGAAGACATGAAAGAAGAATAATAGATATTATGAAGCCTTACAACAAAAAATCGATCACAACTTAAAAAGTTGCAGCTTTTTCAAAAAAAATATACAGCTTAACATTATTAAGTCATTAAAGAACCTTATAAAAGGGTAGATAGTGTGGTTTCAATTTAATTTTTCATTAATTTTCACGGTCTTATCAGGTGTTCCCCAAGGATCGATCTTAGGCCTACGGTTATTTAACATGTTTATTAACAACATTGTCATTCATTTTTGCAGATGACAAGATAATTTAGCCCTCATAAATGATTACAATCCACGTGACCAGCAACTTTGTCCCGAGTTTCGCCAATTAAATTTCGATAAAATAAAAAAAGTTGTTAAACAAATAAGATCAAGATTACATAAAAATACAACATTGTGTTTCACCGGCTGCGATTGGTGTAATTTTTCACGACATTTTATTCAACCAATCGACGATCGCATTACCTCGAGCGTACACGCAACGGTTTGTCATTGTTCACTGTAAACGAATTATTAATTTATTTGGGGATTTTTAGTTGACAGTGCCAATAGTGTAGTGTTGGTCGCCTAACCTCGGCAGTCATGTGACTTGTATTAATCACTAATAAAACTCATTATACGAACAATACAAAACCAAATAGGTCATATTTCTTGTATTTTTCCTTTCAACATATCTAAATTTTCGCGAACTCTCGAAAACCGACGTAAAGAACAATTTTTGATGCATCAAAAGATCGTAACATTTCAAGGGACGAGTAAGACAAGGGCCCTTATCGCCTCAGACATATTTCCGTTTCAACCGAGAGAGGAAAGGCCGGCGTCGACCCGCGAATATTTCAAGCACTTACCGTTGACGTCGTCCTGCCCCAGTTTGAGGCACGACGCTCTGATCGACTGTTCGAGCACCCCGTAATCGATGGCTTCCTCCACCATACGCGGGAACAGGTCGGAAACTATACCTGAAAAGTTATAAAAGTTCCCATGTACCAGCTGCGAAAGACACGTTGAAGGTTAACACAATTATCCACAATTATCCCGCTCGTATGGCACCGTCAGAGATAGCCGCAATTCAATGGCGTGCCAAGCGGGTCAACCGAGACATGGGCGAGCCGCCGTCTCAGAATGCTTTTCACGTTCACGTCAAGTTAGTATACTGTTGCCTTGTTATCGTGCGGATGTCGCGTAAGTAAGCGGGCTCTATAATTCAATCAATTGGTAGAAGAGCTTTCAAAAAATACCGCCTGGAAACAAAAAATATGGTGATATAGGAAAAAAAATTCTAAGGTATTGTTTTTTTCCTGTGGCGCCTAAACGGCGAAGTTAACCTAAAAAATTCACAAAAAAAAAACGGTTTTTCGCTAATAAAAAAAAACTTGAACTCTAATCGAAGAAAGTTAAATGAGAAAGTTGTAGCTATTTAAAAAAACCTATCGATTCGTATTTTTAAATATATCGATTGCTATATTACTTTTCGAGATATATCGAAAAAACCGTTAAAAATCGCAAAAAAATTGCCTCTTTTTAAATTAAAATATATTAAAAATTTTTCGAGTTATATCGATTTTTCGAAAAAAAGGTCATTTCGAAAATCGGCTCTTGCTCGACGAATAGTCGTAGAGAAACGAATCAGGGCTCATTTTTTCCTTAAGAGTTGTACATTCATGGTAAAAAAGAGTGATACCGATTTTATTAATATTTCAAGTGTCCAAAGATGACTGAAAAAACTAAAAATTTTTTGGTCGCGTTTTTCTTGAATATCTAGGAATCGATTACTGGCGTTTTTACGCGAGTTAAAAAAAAAACGTTACTCTACGATCTTCTGGAGCCGATATAATTTTTTTTCAAAAAAGGCAAAAGTGGATAAAACGAACCACAGTATTTTTTTATTGAAAATATAAGTCTTCAACTTCAATCTCTGTAAGAATGGACGCTGTGGAATCAAAAAAAAAAAATATCTCGACTCCAGAAGGTCGTAGAGCAAGTTTTTTTTTTTAAATTCGCGTAAAAATGCCAGCAATCGATTCCTGTAATAAACATTATCGAGAAATGAAAATCGAGAAAAATGAGCCCTGATTCGTTTCTCTACGACTATTCGTCGGGCAAGAGCCGATTTTCGAGATGACCTTTTTTTCGAAAAATCGATATAACGAAAAATTTTTAATAATTTTTAATTTCAAAAAAACGCAGTTTTTTGCTTACCAACATGCTGCTACATTTACAGCAAATAACAAGTTTCAAAACCTTAATTTTGCAAGAGATACAAGAAAAACAAAAAAAAAATCGATTTTTGACGTTTTTTTCGATATATTTCGAAAAGTAATGTAGCAATCGATATACATATTTAAAAATACGAATCGATAGGTTTTTTATGGCTACAACTTTCTCAATTAGCATTTTTTCGATTAGAGTTCAAGTTTTTTTTTTATTAGCGAGCGAAAAACAGTTTTTTTGACTTTCATGAATTTTTTAGGTTAACTTCGCCATTTATGCGCCAAAAGAAAAGACATTTCCTATATCGCCATATTTTTTGTTTCCAGGTGGTATTTTTTGTAAAAACATTAGGCCGTGACAGATTAATTGGACTACTATAGCAAATAGGCAACCAGCAATGCATTTTTATAGATTTTCTTACACAGTTTGCCTAAATATGAATTAATGCACAAATAACAGACTTTCCTCCATTTTAAGACAGTTTTTCTATAAAATGGACCTGGTTTGAAACTCAAATTACTTTTTGTTGTAAAGAAATTTGTAATTTGCTGCTTTTGAACATCGTAAATTACAAATATCTTTACAACTAAAAGTAATGTAAGTTTCAAACCAAGTCCATCTTACAGAAAATCTGCGTTAGAATGGAGGAAAGTCCGTTTTTCGTGCATTAATTCATATTTAGACAAACTGTGTAAGAAAATCTATAGAAACGTATCGCTGGTTGGCTATTTGCTATAGAGCCCTCTGAATTCCAATCCGTTGGTGTTTATGGTGGTGCATTGTAGACAAATTCAGTGATTTAGTCAGTTTAGTCAGTCTTTAGTCGTAAACAACATTCATTCAATTAAATCCCACTCACCGTTAAACAAAATCAAATCATCCTTGAGGAACTTGGGCACGTTGACGTCCCTCAACGCCCTCAACACGATCTGCCTCTCGTCCATGTTCGGTTTCTCGCGCTTCAGGTTCCCCGCCACCGCTATCACCGTCTTGACGGCTCGCATCCCGAAATCGTAGTGGTCCTGGCTGCTCAGCTGCTCGGAACTCAGCTTGAACGTGGTGGTTATCTTGTTGGCCAGCTGCTTGGCGTTGCTGAACCCGAACGAGAAGAGCGATATCTCCGCGATCAGCGTGTAGTTGGGCACCATCATCGACACCGGTCTGAACAGCGCCTTGAGGTTATCGGGGAGCTCGGTGCGGCCGGCGTAGCCGGGGTTCATGGTGATGAAGACCGCGCACGACTGCTTGAGGACTATCTCGCTCCCCTCGAAGAGGAAGCGGTCCAGGCACGCCTGTTGCGCCTTCTGGATCGTGGCTATCTGCTGCGCTACCTGCGGAGAGACATTTTGGACAGTTTGGTGCGTCGATAAATCGATCCGATCGGTGCTTACCACAGAGAGCACCTCGATGTCTATCCTGTTGAACTCGTCGAAGCAGGCCCAAGCTCCCGAACTGGCCAGACCCTTGAAGAACTTGCCCATGGCCATGAAGTCCAACTGGTCGGAGCAGTTGAAGACGACGCACTGGATGGCCATCGCCTTGGCCAGGTCCTTGGTCGTTTCGGTTTTCCCGGTACCCGCGGGACCGGCGGGAGCGCCGCCGAACTTGAGGTGAAGGGCCCCGGTTAGGGTCAAATAGCACCTGTCGGTTAAAGGAGTTATGACCAAACGTCCGCTGTTGCCCAGATACTCGTATCCGTATTGGAACTCCGCGTTGACGGCTCGAACTTTCATGTCTTCTCCAACCCAGTAATACCTGAAAAAAAAAAGAAGATGAGTCAACGTCAGCAAAACTAGTTTGAAACGAGCACCAACCTGAGCTGGCTGATCCAGTCGAAGTCGTTCACGTTGAAGATATGCGAATCCACCAGATTCTGGGTCACGTCCCTGGAGTGAACCTCTATAACGATAAGGGCCGAGAGGATCTCCCTCTGGAGGAAAGTCAGGGAACCCTTGACCAAACTCCTCAGGTCGTCCAGGTTCACCAGGAGGACCTTCTCCAGGAAGTAATCCAGGGATTCCGTCCTGATGCCGGTCTCGACGCCGGCGGTCCAGTACGCCTGGCTGCAGGCGATGACCACCTGGCCGGGCCAGCAGAGGACCCAGGCCTTGCGCTCCTTTCCGTCCATGTCGTCCAGGGACTTGCCGAGCGTTGTGCGTACCGTGTTCTTCATGGAGCTCTCCACCAGGACCAGCCATTTCTCCACGTTGCCCTCGGGGTAGAGTTTCGGTTCCAGGGACACGCACTCCTCTTCGGCGGAGAACATTTCGGTGATTTGTAGGTCCGATTCGAACGTTAACTGGAAGGAATTGAAAATATTTACGGTACAGTTACGAGCCACATTTGGTGGTACGTACCCTCGCGATATTTTCGAAGCACTTCCTCAGGTGAGGCTGCACGGCCAGCGGGTTCCTGGCTTGGGAGAGGATCTCCAGCAACTCGTCGTCGCTGAGGAAGTACAGTCGCGGGAACACGGTACGTTTGACCTCCAGGTATTCGGATAGGCCTTTCTGGACCACCTGGAGGATGTGGTTGCAATCCCTGAGACTTTCCAACAGCGCCCTGTCCCCGCAATACTCTATAATCTGGATTACAAAAAAAAAAAGGTAAACGTCACAATATAATCAGAATGTTACTTCTTTTTTACTTACATTCGGAGTGTCGTGCGCGTTCCTCATAATCCTTCGCCACGTCCTTTCCATCGAGTTGTACTTCTTGCTCTCCACCGGTAGCTGCTTGGTTATATCCGCGCTGGTAAAGATAGGCTCCAAGTACATCCATTGTCTATAATTAACGATAAAAGCATTAACAGTCAACTGTCTTTTTAATGCATAACATTTAAGTCAGGCCCTACTTTTGCACGTCCATCCATTCCTCTATCACCTCGGCGGTGATTCTTAACTTCTCCTCCCATTCATCAATGTCATCGTCGAACGGACCCTTGAAGGGGCTGAAGGATATCTGTTGGGTCAGCACGATGTGGTCGTCCAGCATCTGCTGGATCTCGTCCGATATTTTCATGATATAAGTGCCTGAAAACGTTACACAAACATTTTCGTACTATTTTATTATCCAAAACCATTTGGGAATAGATGCGTCATGAAAGATGGAGGCAATATCGTAAACAATTTTCTAAAATCCGAGAAAAAAATTATTGAAGTAGTATTTTCAACCTTTACATCGCTGGGCTACTGCAATCTCTAGCGTCATTCGTCCCCAGGCGATTCCGAGTAATGAAATCCGATTTTAGTATTATCGTTGCGCTAGTGTTTACATTAGTTTTTTGAGAGATAACGTTTGTATTATGGTGAAGCATTTGTGTTATGGTGAAACAAGTCAACATTTGCGTTAGTTCGTAGAAACTGAGTAAGACGGGCCCAAAGGTGTTTACACGTCGGTGGACAAAATTTTGAACAGTTTTCAGCATCAGGTATGTCAAATTATTTTTTTAATTAAAGCCACAAATTAATTTTATTAGTTAATAACAGTAGCGGCAGAAGCAGTTGAATTTGCTGATATAAAATAGGTGTTATAAAAATTGATTTATTTCTTTTCTTGGGAAAGAAACTCCCAATTTTTTTATCGGATAAGTTTTTATTAGACTTTGCCGCCGTGCCGGTCGCCGACTGCATGCTTTGCCTTGCGCAAGATCAGGTTTTACAGTGGACCAGTTTCCAGTGCTGTGCAGAAGTCTATTTTTAAATCATTTTCGAATTATCCCTTTTGATTCCTTTTTACAAAATTGTATTTGTAGGAGTCCCCTGTACATTCAAAATATTCTTTATTTCACATAGTGTTCCGGTAAGTGAGTATTTCTATCTTTGCTTATTGCACACAAATCGATAGAAAACTGCCTCAAGGTCCAGCTGAGGCGTGTCAGTGCGTGTCATAAGCGCACAAGAGAGGAAAAATTTGTTATTTGTGCTGGTCAATACTGGACAATCTGATTATAAGTAACTGCAAAAAAAAGCGAAACACGTGGTAGGAAAAAAGAATCAAGTTAACAGTGAAATACGATTTTATAGCCGAAGATTTGCTTAAATAAATAATTTCCAAGGATATAAACACACCCGCAGAGGTATATCTTGATTAAACGCCGAGCGAAACAGCCCCTTTACCTACCTGTGTTCTTGTAAGGGTTCAATTCCATGAGATTGCTCTCCCACTCGGCCTTCATCTTATTCATGGTCTGCTCTATTGAGTATTCCTTGCTGGCCGACTCGGCTATTTTAATTATCAGGTCCGAGTGCTCCCTTATCCCAAGAGAAAGGCAGTCGTTGAAGGTTATTATCGGAGTCCACATCAACGTGATACCTTAGAAATTACACAGATGAGGGGAGGTAAGTGAATTATGTAAAAGGTCAGAAGTGGGATTTCCAAAATATGTGTGTAGGTTAATATCGCTTACTTACCAGTCTCCTCCTCGAACTTGTGCCAGTGGCGCTGCCTCATCCCCGGATTCCTCAGGCTCTGTATGAGCGGTATCAGCGGCTTGAAGTCGTCAATCTCGTTCTTGATCTGAACTGCCACGCTCTGTACCGCCTCGATGTCGGCGAACACCTTGATCAGCTTCACCATCATCTTGTACATCTCCGTGGTGCAGGACTCGATGGAATCTGCGTCGACGTTCAGTATAGGATTGTCCATCCACATCTCGTAAGAACGCAACCAGTCTAAAGAGGAAAAACTCGTAAAGACACATGTGGATGAAGGGAATCAAAAGAAAATCCACCTGACGCGGTGCCCCACAGGTTCTTGTACGGTTCGAACTCCCTTATAAGTTTGGTCAAATTGTCGAATGGAACTATGGGCACTCCGAACATTTTCTGCCTTTGGTTCAGCAGTTGGCCTTGTTCCTGGGCCTCCTTCATGGTCTTCCATACGCGCCTCATATCCACGGCCGTTTCGTGAATCTGAACGGTTGAAAATAAATAAAGAAAACATTTAAAGGGACAAGAGTATATTATTGTTCAGTCTCCAAGAGATGAAGGATACTGAAAGTCCGCTTTTAGTATTAACGTTGTTGCGATAGTGTTTACATTAGTTTTTCAAGCATCAAAAATGGCTTACGTGTATAACAACTCGGAGTTGATGGATATCGTTTTAGTTTATGATGAAGCAAGACAACATTTGAGGTATGGTGAAGCATTTGTGTTATTGCAAAGCAAGACAAAATTTGTATTAGTTCGCAGAAACTGGGAAAGACGAGTCCAAATGTGTTTACACGTTGGTGTACAAAATTTTGAACTGTTGTTGTACATTAGGTATGTCAAATTATTTGTATACATATTTCGAGGCACAATCCTGAAAATAAAATTAAGGAATAATATACGAATACACGAGATTAGTGCCCTCGCTTTCAGCAAAACACAGGTAAGGCGAAACGATGTTTTATTTCGCGGCTCGAGTGCCTAAGCGCGATACGAGTGCGAGTGCATGACAATCAAAACGTATAAAGCGAAACGTCTGCCTCGAGCTATATTTTCGAGATAAACAAACATTCCATCCCTCTGACGTGCCGAGACCGGGTAAATCTTGATTTATGTACTCGCCACTTCTTAATCATACGATCCGTATCCGAGAAATAAGCGCGATTTGGCGGTAGATTGAGGCAATTCCATTAATCCCAGTTTAGCGATATTGATATCAAAAAATCCGTTCGTCTCGGGGATGCCCAGTGTTTGCTTAGAATCGGGGGCAGGTGCGAGTGTAATTTATTATTTAACTGTAAATATATCACGTTATATTGGGGTACAGGGATTCGCCGACGAATTGTTAGGTTGGGCAGATTTATGTGGGCGCCATTGATTTTTTTAACAATCCGGCCAAGAAGACCACAAAGTACGTCGCAAAAACTGATTTTTTAGCCTTTCTTAGAATGTTTTTTCACATCACAAATAAATTCACCTAAACTAGAGCAATATCAGAGGTGACGAAGACTGAAATTAAACAAACTAAACACAGTGCTGTAAAAAAAAACATTAACAAACACTTTTTCATTAAAAACATTTAAAGGATTTACCAAATCTACTAGATTTGTAAGTACTTTTGTTATTGAAGAATAATTAATTGATTAACGAAAATAAATTATAGCTTGACTGTTTTATTTGATTTAAACAAAAAAAAATGTCACATACCTTGGAGAAATCCCTGATCTGAGACATCTGCACCACTTGGGCGGTAAGGGTGTCTATCTTATCGGTCAAAGACTGCTCGTCGTTGATCTGCAGCTTCAAGAACCTCTCCTCCTCTTCCTTCAGGAACAGTTCCGTCCCTTCGATCTGCTGCTGGATCTTAAAGGGCCACGCTATCGCCTCGTACTTGTTTTCGAAGTCGTCATTGGGAAGAGCGTACCAGAAATGATCCAAAATCTCGTACTCCTGAGGGACGACGTTTCGAAAATTACGCTTTCGGTTGTTACCAAAGACCAAATAGACTGAACGATAGGGAGACATGAGCGACAGCCACTTGTAACCCCTCGCGAGTTCAGAAGGCTTTGTGCGTTATAAAACAACTTTAATACCACGTCCACTTTACATATTCCAACGAAGTAAACAATGATACAACACGCGTGATAAGCACGTGGATGCGAAATTGGTTGCAATAAAATAAGAGAAATTAGTTCAAATATTGTTAAGGTGATATACCGCTGGTTCTCGACTGCCGAGTCGACGCGTGAAGTCTATTTGGCCTGCGCTTGTGACTTACCAGCAAATACCTCTTACACAGCTCCTCTTGAGTCCTCACGGACATGGGAATGGTCTCCATCCAGTCCCGGATTTCGAAGATATGTTCGATTGACTCCGGTCTCTCGAATAACTTGGACATGATTAGCTTGTATTCTTCCAAAACCTTGTAAAGCGAAATAAATACGCCCTTTAATTCTCCGCTCCACAAAAATATATACGTACAATTCACCCCTAGCCCGCTTTATTAAGCTTTTAGGGCTTTATGTCTTTGTAGGTCTTTTATGTGGGACGTTACCGTGCAGAGTTCTGTTATTTTTAGACAAATAATGTAAAACGTACGGGTCGTCGAGGACAAATATTTCTTGTGTTGTAATGGAAAGGGGCATACATGTCGAATTATTCACAATGGGGGCAAAAAAGGGTTGAAAGGGTGTTAAAAAGGGACCCAATTAGCGAAATTTCGAATTCCCTGCGGGGATTGGGAAACGATTTGATGATATAAGGGCCGAGTTAGGATATTCTTGTGCAGTAACAGACCGCAAATTAATTAGACAGTGTTAAATCGTAACCGGAAAAATTGTTTAAAAATTTTTTATAGTGCAAATTTGTAGATACTAAAATAAAAAACTTTTCTGAAACCTTATATTGGCGATTTAACCGAAAATCACGCGTTGTCATCACAAAATGTCGTGCAGATAAAACATAACCTCACAATTTTTTTAGATTTATATTATTTTGTATTACATTCAACTGATTATTTTTAAATTTGTTAACAAAATTCGTTAAAGCTATTAGAATAGCAGAGTGTCGCATTTTATATTTACGCATTGTATATTTACATTTTATCTGCTTTCATTAAGTGCAAATTATTTCCGCCATAGGGCAAACCTCTTGATTTGAATTGGGGCGCGTAATAGTATATTTTATTACATTATAAGACCCTTATATAGGATTTAACATGCGGACATTGAAGTTAACTGAGCGAGCTGGAACGGGCTCAGATATCCGTCTGACCATGTTAAATTCCATAACGGTCGATTGTGCAACGTTTTACATTATCCTGAAGGTATTTTCATCCAGTAGAGGGGGAATACACTACAGATTGTTAGTATACAGGTAACTTAAACCTTCACTTGAAAGGATTTTTTTAAAATTTAGATTGTATGGGAATTGTAAACTAGACAGCGCATACCATCGAGAAGCAGGTTGCGTTGTCGGTCGCACTAAATGACGTCACAATGCGTTCTTGATCCCGTGACATTTAAATTTTTTATAATTTCAAACGTCTATAATTAGTTTGTAGCGTTAAAGAAATTAATTTCTTTGCCACTTCAAGTTGTTGACGGTTATAGGGTTATATTCATGCAGTTCTAAATGAAATAAAATTTTGAACCAAAGAACGTAAGGGGAAATGGTAAAAAAAAATAAATTGGAATTAATCCCGCTTCAGTTCATGGATGTTTAGGCTACGTTGATTTTATTTTGAACCCGCAAACTTTACAGAAACATTTGTATCGCTGGAATTACTAAATCTAATTATTTCCATTTTCTGGGTCTCAGAGCAAAACGAATTTAACTCCGATTCCCAACTGATCAGTTCGGTCTTGAACAGAAGTTTCCATATATAAAAAACGTATTCATTTTCATGAAATTTGAGGATATCAGGGTCGATTGAAATCCGTCACCTTTCAATGTTACCGGAATCTCAACGAATAGCTTGCGGGTTTTTATAACGGAGATGAAAGTAACCATACTTTTTGCAAGGTAAAAAACAACATGTTAAGCCCCTTATTAAACCAGGACGAGATCAACGGAAAGTAATGGTAATCAATGGAAAAAAATACCAACTGGAAACAAAAAAATATGGTGATATAGGAAAACGAGATTCTAAGAAAGATAGTGTTTTTTTTTTTGTGTGGCGCATAAAAGTTAACCTAAAAAATTCATAAATGTCAAAAAAACGATTTTTCGCCTAATAAAAAAAAACTTGTGTTCCAATCGAAAAAAGTTAAATGAGAAAGTTGTAGCTATTAAAAAAACCTATCGAGTCGTGTTTCTAAATATATCGATTGCTATATTACTTTTCGAGATATATCGAAAAAACCGTCAAAAATCGACTTTTTTTCGTTTTTGCTGTATCTCTTGCAGATTAAGGTTTTGAAACTTGTTACTTGCTGTAAATGTAGCCCACGGCAAGCAAAAAAAGTGTTTTTTTTTTTAATTAAAAAATATTAAAAATATTTCGTTATAACGATTTTTCGAAAAAAAGGTCATAAAAGAGTGATAACGATTTTATTCGTGTCAGTGTCCAAAAATGACTTAAATAAACAATTATTAAATAATTGTTGAAATGTTAACAAGAAGTGAGAGAATTTTAGACTGAAGGAAAATTACGACTTGTGGAATTTTTTGAAAAAATAAAAAAAAATTATCTCGGCTCCAGATCCAGAAGGTCGTAGAGCAACGTTTTTTTTTTGTTAAATTCGCATAAAAATACCAGCAATCGATTCCTGTAATAGACATTATCGAGAAATGAAAATCGAAAAAGATATTCAAGAAAAAAGCGCCCAAAAAATTTTTACTTTTTTCAGTAATTTTTGGACACTTGAAATGAAAAAAACCGTTATTGCTCTATTTTACCGTGAAAGTACAACTCTTAAAGAAAATAATGAGTCCTGATTTGTTTCTCGACGACTAATCGTCCGATTTTCGAGATGACCTTTTTTTCGAAAAATCGATACAACTAGAAAAATTTTTAATATTTTATGAAATTTTAAAAAATGCACTTTTTTGCTCGCCGAGGGCTACATTTACAGGAAGTAACAGGTTTCAAAACCTTAATTTGCAAGATACAACGAAAAAACGAAAAAAAATCGATTTTTGACGGTTTTTTCAATATATCCCGAAAAGTAATATAGCAATCTATATATTTAAAAATACGAATCGATAGGTTTTTCTTAATAGCTACAACTTTCTCATTTAACTTTTTTCGATTGGAGTTCAAGTTTTTTTTTAATAGCGAAAAAATGTTTTTGTTTGACGTTTATGAATTTTTTAGGTCAGTTTCACCGTTTATGCGCCACAGGAAAGAAACACTATCTTTCTTACAATTCTTTTTCCCTATATCACCATATTTTTTGTTTCCAGGTGATATTTTTTGTAAACTCTTTTACCTATTGATTGCACACTTTATCAAGGTCAGAAAAAATATTTTTTCGAATTTTCTTGCGCTCACTAACGTGATTTTCGGCGATTTTTCACTATTTCTTGCCAATTACTCAAAATTTTGGGGGTGTTTGAACTAAATAGACGCCTATTGGTGCAATTCGAAGGTACAGACCACTTTTTTTTGTGTGTCGGTGTAATTAACGGGCTCCGACGAAATGTTATTAATATTGCGAAAGGATTATTCGATTTTTTATGAAAACGTTTGTTTTCAATATTCAATTAAATCGTTGGGCGAGTTTTTAAATTAATTTTTTTATCCCACCCGCCATATAGGACTTGGATTTTGTAGTTCTGACTTCACGTTCGTAATCAGCGACCAAAAAAACTTGAGGAACCAGCAGATATTTACGCCTTTGTACTTTAATTCTTTAGACTTTGAAGAATTTCAGATGCCGCAACGAGTTTTGGGGAGAAAAATTACTTTTAACCTCAAATACGGCGAAAAACCGCGCTTTCGACACTTTTAGGTTAGAATACCCCTAAAATCCGAAGTTAGGGGGCAATTCTGAACCCGAACTTTCCCCGGATGAATTTAAAAACTTGCCCGTCCTTCGCTTAAGCTCACCTCCACCATGGCTTGTCTGAGCCTCGCCGCGAACATGTCCAGCAATTTCTGCGCCAGTTCCTGACGTTTCGTAATGAGGTACGTCCTCAGGTGGTCTATGGATATCAGGAAAGGTCCTATGACGATAGTCGTGGGCAGCGTAACCTCCAGGCTGTCCCTCTGCCTGAAGTGCAGGGACACCTCGTCTTTGATCTCGACCGCAGTGTGCTGTTCGCTCTTGTAGTTTCTAGAAAACATCAGTGGCGGCTCGTGACTTTTTGAGATGGGTGGGCAAAATTTTTTTTCTCTCATGTAACTTAATATCATATAATAATTGCAATCTACGTTAGTCTATTTACTTTTGAAAGTGTAAAAAACTTAAGAATTATGAAGATAGTTAATAAAATATACCTGAAAATTATATTAGTTATTCCAAAAGTATACCTAATAGCAAGAACAAACGAGAATGTCATCACAATGATTTCTTGCCGGGATAGGGGATAAGGCAAGGATTATGGCATAGAAGGACATATAAAAAATTATATAATTCTCTAAACAAATAGTAAAATTCTCTATCACTTTTATAGCTGAATTTACTAACGATAAATTATACTAAAATTCTAATAAGTAAATAAATAAGTAAATAAATAAGTAAATAAATCAATAAGGCACTTTACAATGTCTCTATTTTCGTCCACGACTTTATTATGGTTTAAAATATTCTCACGAAATGCAGATTCAAGAAAAGTTTGAATATTTTGTTTTCCTAATAATTTAAATTTTAATGTTGAATATGTATGCTCCTCCGATCGCTCGTGTTTTTTTTGAGATTCATTTATATGTTTCAGATCTGAATATCCTAGATAATTCCATGGAGTTTTACTTTTTTCATTAAACTGTAAGCAATTCCAACAATATAATTTGTTTCTGGTTTCATTACCTGTTAACCACTCATATTTATTGTACCAATTTTTACTAAATGATCTGTTACTTCCGCAATTGTTTTTATTTATTAAATTTTTCATGTCAGGCGTAGGTTTTAATTTTGAAATAAATAATTTATCATCGAAAGTTAACATACAAAATTTTTTATTTAATAAAAAATTAATAATATCACCATTGCTACTCACCAATTCGCTATTTTCGGCTTGCCATTTTGCTTTACTCCAAACTATTAAACATTAAAAACTTACCTAAACCACTATACTAACCCTAACCTAGAACTTACAAACAACCAAGTCGTGAAGTACAAGGAATAACAAATCTCTACCTTCCTAATCTATGAAATAAAACTAACATCAAACCGCAGATTACACGTAAGTACCCGAAGAATATACGAGTGAAGTCGAAGGGCTTGCCCGGAGAGTAGAGTTATTTTAGGTAATTATGTATATTCAAATGATAATTTATTAAAAATCTGATTGAAATAAAAAAAAAATATTAAATAGAAGCTATTTTTTTTAATCGAACAGTTTATTATTTGAAAAAATAAATAAATATGTATCGAATTTAAAAGTCCTAAAAATAATTTATATCACTTCCATATTTACAAACTCGAATCTATTAAAATATTGAAAATTTTTCAGCAATCACTCTTAATTTAGTTTAACAGTAACGCTTCAAAATAACCTTAATAAATATAATTGTCAAAGAACATTCAACATATCATAGATATTTATTTTTTAACGCGATTTACAAATTATTATAAAACGGTTTATTACTTCGTTTACTAATATTTGTTTTCTGGAATACCTTTGCAGGGAAAAATTGTTCTAATGTTCAAAAATTCATTTAAAGAACAAAATTACAGCACATAAATATACATATATTTCCAACCGCTGCTGGCTGGCTGGCGAAAAGCCGTAGCTGGCCGATACAACACTCGATGAGTATGCGGGTGCGGGCTGTGTCCGGGCTCGCCCGACTTGGGCTAGATATTCTAAATTAGTGAACGACTTACGTTTCCGATTACTCTCTAGTCCTAGCCCTGCGTATAAGCAGGCAACGTACGGCGTTGTTTAATTCAGCGGCCACGGGCTGGCCCGAATGTTATGTTGGTTGCTGCCGAGATCATCCCAAAAATAATTTACATCACTCCCATGTTTACAAACTAGAATCTATTCAAATATTGAAAATTTCTCAGCAATCACTTTTAATTCAGTTTAACAGTAACGAGTTAAAATAACCTTAATAATTATAATTATCAAAGAACATTCAACATAGCACCATAGATATTTATTTTTTTACGCGATTTACAAATTATTATAAAACGGTTTATTATTTCGTTTACTAAAATTTGTTTTCTGGAATACCTTTGCAGGGAAAAATTGTTCTAATATTTAAAAATTCATTTAAAGAACAAAATTACAGCAAATAAATATACGTATATATATTTCCAACCACTGGTGAAAAGTCTTAGGTGGTCGATACAACACTCGATGGGTGCTCAATGGGTATATGCGAGCTGTGTGCGGTGTGCGGGCTCGCCCGACTTGGGCCAAATATTCTAAATTAGTGAACGACTTACGTTTCCGATTACTGTCTAGTCCTAGGTGCGTATAAGCATGCAAGGTATGGTTGGGGTACGGCGTTGTTTAATTCAGCGGCCACGGGCTAGCCCGAATGTTATGTTGGTTGCTGCCGAGATCATGATTAAAATATAATTTTAAAATTTGGTAGGGGGAGTTTCAAAGGAGGTAACGCATTTTAGATTTAATTTTATAAGAATTGTCAAATCACTTTGATAAATATATACACAAATTTTTGTTTATTCTTCTGAAAATTTCAGGGTGGGCACTGCCCACCCTGCCCACCCCGACGAGCCGCCACTGGAAAACATATTCCCTGTGCAAGCTGAAGGAGCAGCGCACAAAATCATGGATAAAACGAAACTTCCAGAAAAAAAAGGCCGCTTAAAAGATCAGTCCCAAGTAAAATGTAAAAATATGAAGATCTTTCTATCGTGGTCAAGTTTTATGTCAGATACAAAATCAGCAATAAATAAACGATATTTATAATTTTGAAAGTTTTAATCGAATCTATAGTTCAACGACTAACTGCGCTTCCTGCCGTCCAATTAAAACTTTAATTATGAATCTCTTTGATCTAATTCAAGGTGCGACTCCATCCCAAAGTAGTGTGCGGATGCAAATTGCTTTGAAAGCTGCGAGTGAATAATATTTATCGTCAAACGTTTAAGCCGTCACTGCCCTGTTTTTCTTTTTAATTTAAACTAAGTCCATCAAACCAAACACAGTAAAGAGTATTTAGTGGACTTGACGGTAAAATATTATACCTATCGAAGTGTGGACAGTTTTAATTCGCGAGGATCAAGGAGTATATTAATTGTGAGAGTGAAATACTATATTGTTATAAAATAATGCAAAAAATTAAAGGGTCATATCGGGAATTAAACTCTAAGATCCTGGTTTTTAGATCTTTCAGTCGAAATTTTTTGGGAGCTATACGGTATAATTCTAAAAAACAGCGCGACAAAAAAATTTTGCAATTTTTTTTTACATTTTCCACGGACTTTGAATTTTTTTTTCAGCTAAACCATTGCATGGACCAGATAGCTATTATATTCAGCTTCAATTTCCTTTTTTTTTTTAAATTTCGATACGACCATTTTTCATTGAAATATCGGACTTTTAATGGAAAATGATCCTTTTGTCTTCAATCAACGATATCTCGGCGACAAATAGTCGTACAGACAGAGCATAGAAGGGCAGTTTTGAAAACTGGAATAAATTTCCTATAACATACTGCTGCAACTTTCCGCAAATTTTTTTTTATTTTTTTTTCATCTTTTACACGAATTTTATAAAGCAGGAAAAAAGGGGTAATTTTTGGTTTTTTAGAGGCTAAATTAAAAATATTCACGAAATGACTAATGTTAAGCATGACTTTTACAGTTCGATATACCCAGAAGAACCCTGTGAAGTTTCATCTCGATCTAGAGAACCGTTTTTTGGTTTCAAACAGTCAAACTTATGAAAAAAATTTAAGGGTCATGTTTTTCGAGCTTAAACACTTCATAATCACGAGTAAAATGAAAAAAAAAAATTTTTTTTGAGGTTTTCTCACATTTTTACCTCAAATAACGTTTAAACTGATGAAAAAAAAAATATTCGAAAAATTTTTGAAAAAATTTTCGAATTTTTTTTTTAACCTTCCGGATATTGAAGAAGAAACAAAATCCAATTGTTTCCAGCACGATTCGGCTTTTCCGGTCCTATAGATCTGTTCATCGACTTTTAATTAAATTAGAATTAAACTTGATGACCCAAACCAGATTTCGACCCCGATTCATACCGTTTTTTGAGACTTTCTAATTAATTTTTGCGCAGCCTGTAGTCACTTAAAAAATAGTTTTTTACAAAACTACTCTTTTTCTTTGAAAAAAAAATATATTTTTTTTTGTATTTATACCAGTGGCGTCCATGCGAGAATAATAAAATAAATGTTTCTATTCTGTGGAAGAATATGTTGTTAATCAACTTTCTGTTAATTAATCTTAAGTTGTAAATTAGTCTTGTCTTTATGTATCTACTTTCTTTTGACTATGCCTATTCAATTGTTGTATTGGCTAGAGGAAATATACGTTATTATTATTATTATTAAATTGATGAAAAATAAAAAAAAATTCAGATAAGAAAAAGGGTAATTTTGAAAAAAACTATTTTTTTATGTGATTACAGACGGTATGAATCGGGGTCGAAATCTGGTTTGGGTCATCAGCTTTACCTAATTTTAATTTACTTAATTAAAAGTTGATGTACAGAAGTAAAGGACGGAAAAGCCGTATCGTGCTGGAAACAATTGGATTTTGTTTTCTTCAATGTCAGGAAGATTTTCCAAAAAAAAAATACTTCAAAAATTTGCCTGTTTTTTCATTAATTTAAACGTTATCTACGGTAAAAATATGACAAAACCCCAAAAAAATATGTTTTTTCCATTTTAATTATGATTATGAAGTGTTTAAACGTGACCCATTTAATTATTTTCAAAAGTTTGACTGTTTGAAACAAAGAAACGGTTCTCTAGATCGAGATGAAACTTCACAGGGTTCTTCTGGGTATATCGAACTGTAAAAGTCATGCTTAACATTAGTCATTTCGTGAATATTTCTAATTTAGCCCTCAATTTTCTAAAAAACCATAAATTACCCTTTTTTTCCTGTTTTTTTAAATTCGTGTAAACGACGAAAAAAAAAATTTTCCGAAAAGTTGCGGCATCATGTTATAGGAAATTTATTCCAGTTTTCGAAACTGCCCTTCAATACTCTGTACGACCATTTGTCGACGAGATATCGATGATTGAAGACAAAAGGATCCTTTCCCATTAAAAGTCCGATATTTCGATGAAAAATGGTCGTATGGTCGTATCGAAATTAAAAAAACAGGAAAGTGAAGCTGAATAAACAAGCTATCTGGTCCATGCAATGACTTAATTGAAAAAAAAATTTCCAAGTCCGTGGAAAAAACAATAAAAAATGCAAAATTTTTTTGTCTCGCTATTTCTTAGAATTGCATGATAACCCTAGTTCCTAAAAAACATCGTAGAAAGATCTAAAAACTAGAATCTTAAGTACTCCGATTTCGGAAAGGCTTACGGTTGAAAAAGTACCCTGAACTATGAGAGACGAGGGGACTCGTCTCAAAAGTTACCCCGAATCACACCCCACTAGACATTGTATAAAAATTGCCATTCCAACCCGCATAAGGGCGTGTATGTGGGTGGAAAAGGGTGCTGAGGGTTGACGAGGGGGTTGGATTTATTTTCGGTAGTCTTCTTTGTTTTCAGCAGCCCAAAAAACATAGACTGTATGAGAATTGACACTTCACCCCCATAAAGGGGTGTGTGGGGGTGGTAAAGTGACGCTAGGGGGGTAACGAGGGGATCTAATTCATTTTTTGTAGTCTTCTTCGTTCTTAGTGGCCCAGAAAACATGGGAATGCACACCCTACTCGACTTTGTATGATAATTGACGTTTCAACTCCCAGAAAAGAGGGTGTATGGGGGGGGGGGGGGGTGATAACGGGGAAATGGCTAGCTACAATTTTTTTTTATGGTCATATTCGGTTTCAGCGACCCCAAAAACGGAGGGGTCTAATCTAAGAATTAAAAGTGTTTAGTTCCTAGGATTAAAAGTGAATCCGTTTGTTGCAGTAAGAAAAATGTCAATGTCAAATGTATTTGCCGCAGAAAAAGGACTATCAAATGCCACTTACTCGATGTACTGGAGCACATCCAACGTGTACAGATTCACGTGCGCCTTATATTCTCTAGCATACGCATGCAGAGGTATAAGAGACTTCTCGTAGGCCAAGAGGAAGCGTTCCCTACTCTCGCAGACCTCGTCGGCCAGCAGCCCCACCGAGGACAGGTTGAGGTCCTTGGGGAACCGCAGGTTGCCCAGGAGGAAGGGGTGGACCTGCTTGATCTGGTGGGTCTGCCTTATGGCGTTGTCGAACAGTTTCAGTAGGACTTTCTGACGGGAGGGAAACAAACAATTTTCTAATTTATTTAAATTTAAACTAGCGTTTAATTAATTTTCTGAATGCCAATTTTTTGAAACGTATGTCTCTGTACTCTGTTCAAAACTGACATCTCAAAGAATGAAGGGTAAAAGGACAATCTTCTAATTATATTAAAAATTATATTTGTTCACATCCAAACAAAGCGTGGCTAAAAAAACTGAAGAGAATAGAATTAAAGGACATAAATCTGAAGTAATTCCTCTCGGATTAAATTAAAGTTTTTTTGCGAGGAATCACCTGATTACTATTTTGTCTGAAGTTCCGGAAAGTTTAATTAGAATCTCGCTTTCGATTTGGAAATGTTTTCTTCTTCGCTGCCGTTAAGGAATACCACCGCGATTGTGGTAAGAGATCGAGAATGAGCGAAAATTTGTTTATTAACGGAAATAACAACTCCCATTCTCTTCCGCAGAAATTTTGAACAAACTTTGTATACTGTTTTATAATTTACTAGCATTTCCTTTTGTACTTTGCTTTGTACAGGGATATACATCTCCTGTACTAGTTCATATAAACACAGCAAAAAAAATTAAGGAAGCAGAAAAATTTCCAAAATTTTCAGTGATTTTTGAAAGGATGTAAATTCGTGAATGATTGGTCGTACAGCGAACGCAAGGTGGCTTTTGGAAACTTGAATTAATCCTCTTCAAGGACCTTTTGATATGTTTGAGATAGATTTTTTTTTGTATTCAGTATTGATTTGAAGAAGTGCAAAAAAAATAGTTTTTCAGCTGTTTTGGAAAACTACTTGTAGTTTTTTTTAGCTCAATACATGCCCATGAGGCCAGTAAATTTTGAAATCGATCGGTAGAACCATCTTTTTTCCTGAATCGTCGTTTTATGAAAAATTAAAGGAGCAGGTTTTATTGTTCCTTAAACATCAATTAATGATGATTAAGATGAAAAAAATGTTTTTGTTTTATTTTTCTCACAATTTTGCGTTAAATACTCATCAAATATCCAAAAAAAATATTCGAAATTTTGAAAAAAAATCCAATTTTTTCAAAAATGTTTTGTTCTTTTTTACAATTTCGCATTGAATATTTAAAAGGTCCAAATGTTGATATTTTAAATCCTTTTTTCGAAAGTTCTCAAGTCTTTAAAAAAATATTTTTTTTTCAAAACTACCGATTTTTGTCGACATTTGATTCAATGCGAAATTGTGAAAAAAAAACAAAAAATGTTGAAGTTTGTTTTTTTTTCAAAATTTTGTATTTTTTTCGATATTTGACAATTCAGGAAAGGATTTCAAAATTTATAGTCCTCATGGGCATGTATTGAGCTAAAAAAAAACCTACAAATATTGGTACTTTTCGCAATATTTGTAAAGTAATCGTTAATTTTCCAAAACAGCAGAGAAAGTCATTTTTTTGCACTTTTTCAAATTAATACAGAATATAAAAAAAATTGATCAATGAGAAATAATCGTACAGAAAATAAAAAATAACCAAATTGAAGCTGATGAATCAGGCTAAATGATCCTGGCATTGATTAAGCCAGAAAAAATTTTTCTGAGCCCCTGTGCGGTTTTGAAAAAAAAATTTGTAAAATTTTAGCCTTCCATTATTTCTTTTAATTTCGTCGAGGGTAATGTTCAAAACAATTTTTCATTTAAAGATTTCAAAACTAGAATATTCAAACTTCAAGATGCTTCTTTCTTTTGTCTCGATATGACCATTATTTACGAAGATACAGCCTTCAAAAATCATTAAAAAAGATTGAAAAATTTTGTTGCCGAGTGTATTTCAAAATGAATAACGAAGGCGCTTCAGGCAAAACAGTAAACGTTTAGAAATGACTGCATATGATTTTAACGCTGCACTCGTCCACTAAAAGGGATCAAAGACAAGCGGAAGTCTGAAGTTGTACGCTAGAACTTTGTCTTTGTCGGGAGACTAAATAAATCCTGAGTGGGCAGCTCAGTCTTACACAAAGTTCATAATTTCAATTTTGCGAAAGACAATCTTAAGGTAAATGTCAATTAAATTCTACTAGAAATTGAATTTCCCACACCCAAATACTATACAAGGCGTTTTCGATCTATCGACTATCGATTATTTTCATTCAAAATGGAAAAATAATTCCGTAAGGACCACTTCATTGGTTGAATAGTTACGCCCCATCGGAAAAGGTACAGCATGCCAAGGCGATGACTCTGCGGCGTTTTGCAGACATTCACCGTAGACCAACAAGTTCCTTACCGTCATATAAATGTGTCATTTTGTAGTAACTACCACCAACTTGTGTACAACCTAGTATAGACTCAAGATTTAAAGGTGAGCAAGTAAGGATCCAAAACCCCCAGTTTCAAAGACTTCCTGTGTGATGTATAAAATGTAGTTTATCTACTCACCCCAAAGTTCACCGTGGGGGTGGTGTAAAAGGGCCCGTGCTCGTCCATCTTGAGCTGGAGGCTGAACAGCGGCGGGCATTTAGGGACGAAGGGGCTCGCCTTCAGGTAGGACCCCCAGACGAAGTCCTCCTCCACGTTGAGGCAGGGGGCGCAGGGGGTCTCCACGAGATTCGCGAACGTGTTCAGGGAGTTCAGTACCAGCAGCCGCAGGCTATGCTTCAAATTGGAGAAAACAAATCGGTTTTATTTCCCGAACGGTATTAATTTCAACTGAAACTCTACCCACGCTTATTAAAGCGCCGCAAAAAAAAATTAATTAAAGTTACGGAAGACTAAAAAGGTCAGAAGTAGTACGTGTTCCACAGAAACTGCTAAAGTTTATGTTGATCTCTAAAATCCTGGTATCTAAATATTTAAAATCCTCGAAAAAGCATCACACCTTGGAGACCAATGAGAAAGTCACGCGGATATAAAAAAGGTCGATAAAGAAGCGTTAGTAGACCGATCAAAATAACTCATTTAGAGGGAAAAAAAAAGAAAATTGTTACCTGGACTTTTATAAGTGGAAATGGTAAACGGGCTTATAATAAACGAAAAAAAAAATAAATACGTGAGCAGGGGCGGCGGAGGGTTGATTTGGGGGGTTGAAAAGTTGTGAAAAATTGTATCATTGGGATTTCTTGACGTCAGACAAAAAAGTATCTAATGCAAAAGTTGTAGATCATACAAAAATCTACAACTTCGGATATCCGGATAAACCCAACATTTTGCAAAATTGTTTAATTTTTTCTGGCTTTATTTGAAAACGAATTTTAAAATAAATTACATATTGGCGTCAACATTTTTGCAATCCGACGTTTCGTCTTCGAAGGGCCATCATCGGATTAATTTTTTTAAATACGTCGCTGCTATTTGTATGACAAATCCTAGTAATTTTTAATTCTGAATTAGAGGATATTACTATTGTAATCGCTTAAAAAGTTTTTAGCTTGTTTTAGCTATAATTTAAATTTTTTCCTGAGTACGGCTCTGAACACTTTCAAAATATGTATTCGATGAAGTCATAACAATATAAAAGTCAATATCGCACAAAGTATCCAACAATTTTTACTACTATTAGGAATACTCATTAGAAATAATGAAATATTTCATAAATTCGTATTATTATTTTTTGATTAGGTACAACTTTTTAAATAATGGATTACAAAAATTGTTGGATATTTCGTACTGTATCGACTTTTATTCTCTCCTCTCTCTCTCCCTCTCTCTCCCTCTCTCTCCCTCTCTCTCTCTCTCTCTCCTGTCTCTCTCTCCTCCAATAGATACAGGTATTTTGAAAGCGTTCAGAGCCGTACTCAGGATAAATTTTTAATGATAGCTAAAAACCTTTTTAAGGTTTATATAATTTATACAATAGTAATATCATCTAATACAGAATTAAAAATGACTAGATTTTGTCATAAAAATAGCAGATATATTTAAAAAAATTAACCTGATGATGGACCCTCGAAGACGAAACGTCGGATTGCAAAAATGTTGATGTCATTCATTGGATAGAGCGAAAAAAGTGGCAATGTAAATATGCTATTTATTTAAAATTCGTTTTCAAATAAAGCCAGAAAAAAAATAAAACAATTATGCAAAATTTAGGGTTTTCGGATTTCGCGTCAACTTTGCAGTTAATACTTTGTATTGGTGAAATCTCAAATCATCAAGAGATAATTTATCATTTGAGCATTTGTAATTCGACTTAGATGTTTACAGCAATACTGTAGGTACAAAAATAAAGTTTTGGGTCAAACAATGAGACACAGTTTTTTTTATTTTTCTCCGTAGAATTGAATGGTGCAATCAGTTTTTGAATGTTTTTTAATTTAAACAAATTATCAACAATAACTGAAAAATTCATTGTTGCAAGTCATTTTTATATTTTTTTGCATTTTTGAGCATGTTTTTGAACTGTTATTACAGATTTTTTTATTTCACCAAAAGGTATATGTCAAAACGAGAAAAATGATCACCGACAGAACTCTGTACGATGATATTTTTAAGTAGAATTTTACTTTGAAAAAAATGTTTCAGGCCGAATAAAATTAATATCTCAGAAATGTCTTGATTTTTTTTTCTAAAAAAATTTGAGGTTATTTAAGACAGAGAAAGGTATACTTTCACCAAGTTTCGTCAAAATTAAATTATTTTTGCGGAAATGAGAAGTAAAAATCGAAAAAGCGGAAAAAAACCCGTTTATCGCATTTTTCTCGGAAATTTTGAGGTTATGTTAAAAAGTTACTTCTACAAAAGTTGTAGATTTTTGCATGATCTACAACTTTCGTATTGGATACTTTTTTGTTTGAAGTCAACTTTCGCCAGAAATCTCAATATTACAATTTTTCATAACGTTTCAACCCCCCAAATCAACCCTCCGCCGCCCCTGCCCATGCATTTATTTTTTTAGGTTTATTATAAGCCCTTTTACCATTTCCACTTATAAAAGTCTAGGTAACAATTTTTTTTTTCTCCAAGTGTAAATTGGTTGGACTATAGGGAAAAGAGCTAAAATCAAACATATTTTTTTGCGGCGTGTCATCTTTACTCTCACACTCTGACATTTAGAATAACAATAATTCACGGGAAAAGTTCGCCAACATGTAAATTTAAACTTTTCTCGGGATATAATACATCATACAGCCGTCCAAATGCCTCGCTCCAAAGTTTCTTTCACTTTCGCAAAACCCTTGTTTGCAGTCCATTTGAATAAACTTCACCCCAAGTCTCATTATGGAGATTTAAGCATTTTATTTGCCCCATCAACACAATCTCTTCCTACACGTTTAAAAATAATAACGCCAAAACGCTGCCTTTTCTCGACTTACCTGCATCCTGAATTTAATCAACTCCATCAACCTCTTCAGCTTGGAAATCTCGTAGGTGCGAAACACCTTCACGTTCAGATCGAACCACCCCTTCCCCAGGTCCCCCAGGGACATCCTGATGTTGAACACCAACGTCTCGAGCCAGGGACCCGTCAGCTGCTTTATCACCTTTGAAAAAAAATTGTGACGCGTCTCAATGTTACGAAAAAATCCAAGCACTTACCACGCTCGCGAACAGAACCTGGATCGATTCGAATTCCTCCAGGACGAGGGCCCTTCCCCCGTAGTTCGCATTGAAGAGGGTCATCTGGCCCACTTTCAGGCACTCCCCCACCACGGAGGACATGGCTATGTACGTCTCTGGTATCACGTAGATGTTGTACCACCTGAAGTAGTCCCGCATCTTCTTGAAGTTCCTCATCCCCGTTTTGATGTCGCCTGGAAGGAATGGTTGAAGGAAATTCGCGGTTCTAAATCGCGACAAAATGTAGCACTTTGACAAAAGCAGATAAAATTAGAAATCAAGTTCTTTAGAGAATGGCTTAGGTCAATGAGGATCACGAATCGATGATTTTATCGACTATAAACTCAAAATCTATCTTTAAGGTGAATAGAAACATTGTTAATGGCAGGCTAATAGGACCTTTGCACTTTTAGAAGAAGAAAAATTGAAAACGACTCTATTTCGCAAATAAAAGTAAAGTATATTACGGTGTGGCTTGAGAGCCGGTTCTAATTCAGGCAATCTCAAGTAAGTGTGATCCCCGTGTTTTTCACAAATGTGTCGAAACTCCAGTTCAGCTATGGTCCTCTTATGGAACACCCCAATTTCTTCTTTCAGCTGAAAGAAATCAGTGAAAAACGCAATAGTCCAGGCGGTAGGGCATTCGAAGCGTTTGTATTTGAGGTCATCTGTTTTGTTGTACAGAAAAATCCCAAATATTATGTAGAATAAGAATCCGAGTTTGCCTGTTCCAAAAAACCTTTGCTAAATTCAGGGGAACAACAAACATAGAACAAGAACGAAAAATGACCCGTTTTCGACATATTTTCCCCTCTAACATTGTAAGTAGGCCCTAAATAAAAAAAAAGATTACAACAACTGAGAATCAAATAAGTTGAATTTTGCGGTAACAATAGGCGAAAAATAGTAGAAAATCGTATTTATATTTGGAGCAATTTTTAAAATAAGTAAATATTTATAAATATTGATGAAACTTTGTGAACAAACAGTAAAAGATATGTCAATTCTACCCTAAAAATCTTGCAACGATCAATCGCGTGGTTTTCGATTGACAGGACTGTTAATTAAGAAAATTTCAAAAAATTTATTGTGTACCATGGGTTTAAATTAAGCTTTAGAAAGGGCATAACATTTTTTAGAAATACTTGTTATAATAAACAATGATCAATACTAAAAATACCTATTTTTACACTTATATAACCATTAATTTTTTTTTAAACAAAATCGCGGTTCGAAATCTGAAAGACATTGATAAAGAATTTTCGAAAAATGATAAACAACTTTACAATTTATGATTTAGGCAGCAATCAAGGCTATTGCTATGTATGGCATGAACAAATATCGAAGAGAAGACCGGATGAAATTGGAAGTTGTTTATGGATCTTTTTAAAAAGTGTTAAAGAAAATGGCATACGAAAGGTTATTCTTTATTCCGACAATTGCGGTGGTCAAAACCGTTTATCGTTTTGTTTTTGCGATGTTTGCTTATGCATCAATAACTTTGGATTTGGAAATAACACACCGTTTTCTTGAAATTGCCACACGCAGAATGAAAATGACAGCGTGCATGCTGTGATTGAAGCTGCAAAAAAACATCACTGCTGTATACACTCCTAATCGGTGGATTAGTCTAATAAAAATGTCCAAAGTTACTGCCCCACAGTACAAAGTAAAAGAAATGTCTCAAGAAGATTTTGTAACTTTTAAACCAATGGTAAAGAAACAAAACTGAAAAAAAAGGTATTACTGGAGAGGCTGTAAAAATCAGCAAAATCAGAGAAGTCCACTGCGGTCCAAAGTCTCCCAATAAAGTATTTTTTGTGTATAATTTTGGAGAAAATCATAAAGAACTAGACTTACAAATATAAATTTTGCTTTTATGTCATTATTGATTATTAACAATTATTTTTTTATCTAGAAATAGAAAATGTTTAATTTTTCTGTACCTTATTAGTGTAGCCAGTTGTTTCTCAATAAAAATTTTGACGACGAAAACTGTAGTAACTCATTCAAAATTCATTTTTTCTTATCCTAAACTATGTTATTTAGATCATTCTTCAATAATTATTTAAGACCTAAACAATAATTACTTTGTTAATAAAGAACGATTTAGCTCTTGTAATAAAAAAAAAATAACGAACATTATTATTTTCTCAACTATTAAAATGCAATTATCTCAGTATAACCTAATTTGAGATATGACAGTTTTCCTTAGAAGAGTCGATGTGCACCCTAATAACAGACAAACCCAAATAGGCCCCGATTTCGATTTTTCCCGACGGCCCCCGAATGAGCCAGACCGGTCCTGGTTCCCCTGAATTTAGCAATGGTTTTTTTGGAATGGGCAAACTCGGATTCTTATTCTACATAATATTTGGGATTTTTCTGTACAACAAAATACATGACTTCAAACACAAACGCCTCGAATGCTTTATCGCCTGGACTACATCAAGAAACGTCTATTTGGTTCGCTTTCTGTTTCATGAGGCATCGAAAACTTAAACGGATTAGATTTAATTATAATAGAAGTTTCTACGGTACATTTATAACTTTGTATTATGTGTATAGTGTAGGTATTTGCATCTATTGTCAATAATAAAACGTACCGTCTCCAAAAGTTCCCTGTTCTCAGCCCTTTTGTTATGGAGCTGTGCTCTGGAGACCAGTAAAAGAATTTTTTCCATCTGTACACGACTCAGCGAGGCTGTGTCGCTCAAACATAGACAGTCCAAGAAAAAATCGTACCTGCACATAAACAGCGCTTAAACTCCAGTGCAAAAATAAAAATGGTAGACTGAGAAATAAACCATAATTTTTGCTATCTCTTAATGTGACATTATAATTTTGTGTACTCTCTTCATGGAAATTTTATTGAGCCTTTCATTTCCGATATGTTCAGCTTGCTCTGATAAATGTAAAACATTTATAAAGTCAAAGCTCAAGACAAATTCAGATAAATTAAAAATAACCCACTTAACATTGAAGAATCTACTCCTTTTTAACGTGGCACTCGCGGCAGGCTTGCTCAAGATTACAACTTTCTATTTAGTCCAATCAAATTAGAATTGCAAAAATTTAGTTCAGTAAACAGACACGTAAAAATTAGGAAAAATTCCCTAGAATTGACTGAACTACTTTACCCCAGCTGAATGTTAGCCTCGTTTTCAAAATGCCGTCTAAAATTCGCAAAAAACAGTTTTTTTTCATTTGAAAAAATAAAACAAAATAGAAAAAAATGTTTTAGACAAAAGTTGTAGAACTTTTTATAAAAAAATGTTGAGCCCAACCCGATGTCACCTTTTATCAAGAATGTCTTTTTTCGTATCTTTCACTTTTTGGTCCATTTGACCTCTTGTAAACTCAATCCGCGGACATACTGTATATCATTAAAACGAAAAAATATTTTTTTTGCGAAACTTTCAGAATATGTAGTCCTTGGCAAGTAGCGTAAGCGCATTTTTGTAAATTTGCAAAATATTTGATAGGTTTTATAAAAATTTAGTTTTTCGGAAAAAAAAATTTTTTCAAGTTTCAACAAATCATACATTAATGCACTTACGTGACCCATCTTGGGCTTAAAATTTTCTCTTAAAGTTGTACTTTCCTGTACAAATATGCGAAAAATGTACCGAAAGTTTGACTTCTTTTTTTTGGGGTCGAAAAATGTACATCTTTTTCTTATCGCTGATATTTACTGTGTAAATTTCAGACATTAATATTAATAAATAACGTCGTAGCGATTTAAAAAAAAATAAATAAATCTCGGCTCCGTTGGTCGTAAAACATTTTTTTTTTAAATTCGTGAAAAAATGTCAGCTTTCAAATGGCAATAATTCATTCCGGTTAAAGAGTGACCGCAAAAAACCTGTGATTTTCGTCCGTTTTTTCACAATTCGCAGAGAATTTAAAAAAATACATAAAAATATGTTTTTGGTCGCAAATTACTTTTAATTACTGAGCATAAATAAGCATTTAGTATTTTGAAAATTTTTAAAATCACCCCTGCTGAGGGGTTCAAAAAATGCCAAAAATGAAGAATTTGAATATTACCAATTGATATAAAAATTATTAGCAATTATCTAGTATATTTTTTTTGGGATTTTTACAATTATATCTGATGTTCTCTATTTTTGGAGATGATTCCACCCCTTAAGGGCGGATTTTCTAATTTAACATGCTTATTTCAGTCATGAGAATAAATTTTTCTTTGTATCAAGAATCATTCGATAGAAAAATTCACATGCTAATAGTTTTTATATTTATTAGTAATATTCAATTCCTCATTTTGGGCGTCATTTCAACCCATAAATAGGGGTGATTTTTGAAAATTTTCAAAAATAACTAAAAGCTATGGTCATCTTAATTTTTTACGACGAGTAATTTGAAATCAAAAACATATTTTTATCTATTTTCTTTGGTTCTCTGCGAATTGTGAAAAAACGGGCGATTTTTGCGGTCACCCTTTTAACGATAAGAAAAAGATCTACATTTTTCGACAAGAAAAAAAGAAGTCAAAATTTCCGTAGGTTTTTCGCATATTTCCAATTATTTTCCAAAACGCGCACAATTTGCACAGGAAAGTACAACTCTTAGAGAAAATTTTAAGCCCAAGATGGGTCACGTAAATGCATTACTGTATGATTTATTGAAACTTGCAAAAAAAATGTATTTTTTTCCAAAAACTATCAACTATTTTGCAATTTTACTTGCCAAGGACTTTGTTTTGTAAATATTTTGTTTTTAAAAGTAATTAATTGAGTCTGTTCGAATAAAGGTGTTAATTGTGTGTTGCCTACCCGCTCACCTAAAAATAGGATTTTTACTTTTATCTTGTTTTTTTTCTTTTGCGCGTTTTTATGGGTGACACGGACAACGCCGACGCTCGGCTCTGGACAACAGTTCCGAAAAGAGTTACCTGAAGAACAGTGCGCACTTTCCGCTATTAAATATAATAATTATTTTCTATATAAAATCGCTTTATTAAACTTAAGTGCATAGACTTAATCTCTATCCTGAAGAAATACCATCCAGCACGGACCCGGGAGGCCCAGAGGTAAGTCTGTGTCACTTACGCTTTCATTTTGTATTTATTTTGTTAAATTTACCATTTGAGATTATTACTCCAAAATAATTGGATAATTCTCATACAGACTTCATATGCTGAAAGATTCGTAAAAAAAACAACTTTTTTCGTTTTAAAAATATAAAAGTGTTTAAAAAATGCAATTTTAAGCCGTTTTCAACAATAACTGATACTTTTGTTTATCAATAATTGACATCGCAATGGGCTCAAAATTTTTGTTGTAAAAAGTTGTACAACTTTTGTCTAAAACATTTTTTTCTAAAATGTGTAGATTCTTATTAAATGAAAAAAAATGTTTTTTGCGAACTTTGGACGCCATTTTGAAAATGAAGCCCTGACATTCAGCTGGGGTAAATCAGTTCATCCAGTTCTACGGAATTTTTCCAAATTTTTAAATGTCTTTGTTTACTGAACTAAATTTTGGCAAAAAGACGAGGTATTTTCGACAATTTCACTGGCCTAATCCCCCTGGAACCGACTTACAAAAAATTGTATATGTTTCGTTATTGATTTGTATCACGAAAATTATGGCAATTTGTTGCACAAACAAACGAAAACCAAAAAAATGACGAAATACATGTTAAATATTGTGAAGAAATACGCAAAACGACCTCGGCTCACCTGATTTTGTTCTCGGTCTCGAACCGGACTACGATGGCCTCCCATATCCTCCGAGCGAAGTTGGCCGGGTCCTCGGCCTTGAACATGACACGCAACCTAGGCAACTCGAAGGTCCTCTGGAGGCCGTCGAGGGTGAGGACCGACCACATCTTCGTCTCGAAGTTGTAGTCGGTGACGGCGACATTCACCCAACAATAGATGTCTTCCAGGGGAATGTCGTATTCCGGCTGAAAATCGGCGTTGGGTACGAGAGCTTCCCCGGGGAGGGGGTATTTGACCCCGTCGATCATGCCGTGGTCCAGCCAACTCTCGGGGGTCCTGAAATCGAAATTTAGCGACGCGCTCGGTTGGTCTACCCGGCGGATGTAGTAATTTACCTTATGTCGTAGTCCTCGTTGTCGAACAACTCGAGGGGCAAGAAGGGGGTCCAGGAGTATAAGCCGGATATTTCGTGTTTTGAAGTTATTAAAGTTCTCAGAACGTCTATGGGCAGGAGTTCTTTCAGCTCTATGCGCCTTTTGTCCAACACTGTTTTCAGACGTTGGCCCTTCGAAAACGAGATAAAAAAGATGCATATAACGAACGTTCAAATAAAAACGTGGTCAAGTTGGTTCTGAAAATTTGGACGTAGGGCGTAGCGTATAGCAAATGAACTTAAACGTCATCTGTCAAAGCGCTATTCGCCGCTATCAATTTGAATATTTTCATTTTAAAAAGCGTTTAAAATGGTGTTTTCTCAAGAACAAAAAGTGTTTATCATAGAGTCCTACTTTAGAAATGGACGCAAGATTGATGGAATATGGAAGTATTCTATTGAGGAATGTTTCATAGAATTTCAAAATCAATTTCCCGGCGTTGTTGAGTACAAAATTTTTCAAAGTGCAGTTCAGCGTTGTGTTAATGTTTTTCGTGAAACGGGCAGTGTAACAAGAAAAGAAGGAAGCGGCCGACCTAAAAAGCGGACTGAAGAATTAAAAGAAAATGTCCAACAAATAATGGAAAATGCGCCAAGAACTTCTGTACGTGTTTTATCACAAATGGTGGGAGTATCAGTCGGTACCTGCCACACAGTGTTAAAAAAAGATTTGCGTTTGTTCTCCTATCGTTTAACTTGTCAGCAAGAACTTCATGAAGTTGATTTTCCGCGACGGGCTGTATTTTGTGAATGGTTTTTAAACAACTACGGTGAACTTCATAATATCACCTTTTTTTCTGATGAAGCCTGGTTTCATTTAAGTGGTTACGTAAACTCACAGAATATGAGAATGTGGTCTTCTGAAAAACCAGATAACTTTTTTGTCGAGGGCCCTCTACACGCTCAAAAAATTGGAGTTTGGTGTGCTCTCAATCGAAGGAGGATTTATGGACCTATTTTTTTTAATGGTACTCTTACTGCGCAAAGGTATAGAGAAGAAATTATCGCTCCTTTTGTTAACCAGCTGGAAGAAAACGAAATTACAAACTTTTACTTTCAACAAGATGGCGCAAGGGCACATACGGCAGGCGAGACGATGAATATGTTGAGGGAAGTTTTCCAAAATCGACTAATAAGTCTCAATGCTGAACATGAATTTCCACCGAGGTCATGTGATATTACGCCGTGTGATTTCTTTTTGTGGCCTTACCTTAAAAACACTATTTTTGAACTGCCTATTCCTGATTTAAACCATCTGCAGGCTCGACTTATAGACAAGATTCGTGAAATTAACAATACCCCGAGCATCTTAGAAAATGTCTTTAATTCTTTGAGGAACAGGTGTGAAAAGTGCTTGGAACAAGGAGGGGGACACTTTCAGCAGCTGCTTTAATTTATTGTTATAACAAGGAGGGGGACACTTTCCGCAGCTCCTTTAATTGTTTGTTATTGTTATCACGATTATTCTTTAAAATAAAGTTATATAGTCATTAACGTTATTGAAACTGACAGCTGCTATACAGCTCGTTGAGAAATGAGGTTAAGTTGGTCGCTATAAGCTACTCCCTACGTCCAATGTGTCAGAGCCAACTTCGACCACGTTTTTATTTGAACGCTCGTTAGAAGTTTCACCTCCTATTTTCTATACGGTGTGATTCACAAATGGTGACCAAAAATGAAACCTCGTATTCCTTGGTGCATTTTAAGGGGTATTTCCTACAAAGTTTTTATCTAGGACGCTTCGTTAAAAAGATACAGGGTGTTAAACTTCAAAAAATATTTTTAATTTTTTTAAATAATTTAAAAACTAGTAAGTGAAATAATTTTAAATTGGGCACATGCATTTATGTAAACATTGTCCAAACTCTGAGGGCTTTTCCTAAAATGTACATGTTCCGGTGGCATATTTTTCTAAATAAAATAGTGCGCCATTGCTTTACGGTAACAACCATGATATTTTCGGATTCGTCTTTCAACTTTCTACAAATTACTACTCTCTCATGTTTTTCGAAAAAATACTGATTTTCGAGTAAAACTTAAAAAACCAACTGAAAACTCATTTCGATATTGAAATAAAATGCGGTTTAAAATTACATAGTAGGCTGCGATAGCAACTTTGACATTCTGAACAGTAGAAGAAAGAATAAATAATGCTTTTCATAAGATTCAAGCAACGATAAATTTCGACCAAATTACATTTTCGTTACTAAAAAGATGTCGCGTCTGTTCTCGTGGAAATTGAGGTATTTTTGAGCATTTACTCAAATAAAATCGTTAAAATGATTACTAGTGTTATTAATTTCTTTATTCGAATAAACAAACGAATGATTAGTCATGTCATGTCATTTAAGTAAAAGTGATTTCAATTGATTTTTTAGTTTTACTCGAAAATCAGTTTTTTTTCGAAAAACGTAAGAGAGTAGTAATCTGTAGAAAATTAAAAGACGAATCCGAAAATATCATGGTTGTTACCGTAAGGCAGTGGCGTACTGTTTTATTTAGAAAAATATGCCACCGATACCCTGTACCTCCGCCACTGGAGCACGTAAATTTTAGAAAAAACCCTCAGATTTTGGACAATGTTTACATAAATACATGTGCGCAATTTTAAACTATTTCACTTACTATTTTTTAAATTATTTAAAAAAATTAAAAATATTTTTTGAAGTTTAACACCCTATAACGAAGCGTCCTAGATAAAAACTTTATAGCAAAAAAATTCTCCTTAAAATTCACCAAAGAATACGAGGTTTCACTTTTGGTCACAATTTATGAATCACCCAGTATATGTATACAGGGTGATTCACAACTTATCCAAAAAATAATTGGGAATAAATGCGTCATGAAAAATGGAATCAATATCGTAAAAAAAAATGTAAAATTCTTATACCTTCCGAGAAAGAAATTATTGAAGTTGTAATATTTACAACCTTTACATCGTTGGGCTACTGCAGTCTCTAGCTTGATTCACGTTGTGCGTTGTACGCGCGATTCCGGATACTGAAATCCGATTTTAGTATTAAGGTTTTTGCGATAGTGTTTACATTAGTTTTTCAAGTGTCAAAAATGGCTTACGGGTATAGCAAGCAATTCGCAGTTGATGGATATCGTTTTAATTTATGGTGAAGCAAGACAACATTTATGTTAGTTCGAAAAAACTAGGTTAGACAGGCTCAAATGCCAAATTATTTTATTAATTAAAACCACAAATAAATTTTATTAATTAATTTCTTTCTTGGGATTTTTTTTTTGTCCCTTCAGTTTTGATTACACTTTGCCGCCGCGCCGGTCGCCGCGAAGGTCAGGTTGTACAGTGGACCAGTTCCCAGTGCCGTGCAGAAGTGTATTTTTAAATCATTTTCGAACTACCCGTTTCGATATTTTTTACAAGATTATATTTGTAAGAGTCCCCTGTACATTCAAAAATTTTTTTTTGGATAAGTTCTGAATCACCCTGTATATGCTATATGTAAATGCATTTAAAACAGGTATTAAATGATTACTCTATGGTCTATGGTCACCGTACGCGTGCGTTAATTTTTGGAGATGGACAAACAATGGTAAATATATGAACAGAAATTTTTTGTTTTAGTAACGTTAAGGAAAAACGCGTTATTTTTCGAGATATAATGAAAAAACCGTTAAAAATCTTCTCTCTTCTTCTTGAACTCGTTTACATTTACGGTCCTATAATATTTACTGTAAGTATAGCCCGCGGCAAGCCAAAAAGTTACACTTTTGAAAAATTAAAAAATATTAATTATTTTTCGAGATAAGTATATCGATTTTTTTTAAAAAAAGGCGCTCTCGAAAATTGGCTAGATCCTCTCAGCGAATGGCCCTACAGTAAGGATTTTCGTCTTATTTTCCTCGTAAAGAGTTGTATTATCATGCTATTACAAATTTTTTACGATTTTATTAACTTTAAGGATCAAAAAATGAGTTCGAAAAAATTGCACTTTATTTGGACATGTTTTTTTTTTCAAATAACAATTTCAATTTTTATTTTATGAAAATGACTATTAAAGTAAGAAATTGCTGACATTTCTTCTGGACCACGTACAAAAAGAATTTCTCTATTGTTTTGTTGCACGTGATTAAATAAAAGAATAACATTAAATAGAAAACAATCCACACATAAAACTTTTCTTTTGTAAAAATTGGCGTATTGTCTTTCATAAGTAAGATACGAAATAAATAATAAATCATCCTAATTAAATGGGATGTGTCGATAATAAATTGCCAATTTTCGTGAATTAAATACTCACCTGGTACTCTCGTCGCCTTCTTTCTATAGCCACGTTTCTAGGAAGAGTTTTCGGTTCAACTTCGTGTTGGAGCTGGACTTTAGGCTTAAATGTATCCACGGGAAAGCTCTGGAAATAATGTTAATAACAAATTTATAAAGTTCTAAAACCCCTTAAAGGCCCCATATTCTTTAAATAGTGTTTTCCGCAAAGACAAATAATTTCAAACATTTAATAACTGAATAATCTAAAGCTTATCAAATAATAGGAATGTTATGTCATGCCACCTGTGTATTTTCAAAGACGCCGCAGTGAAACGAATAAACACGTGCAAAAAACGATCAAACCATCAAGGTTTTAGGTACTGAAATATACGAAAATACTAACTTTTTTATATATAATTCCAATAAGTAAATATTCTTATAACATTTACTTGCTTAGTCCTACATATAAAATTGTTTACTTTTATTTATAAGTACGTGAAAATAATTCTTAAAATGTGGGGTTAGAATAACAGCAAACGCATGTTTTACAAACGCTCTTTTCTAGTTATTATTTTATTTGAGTAAATTTAAATGGTAACAATGAATAAACAAAACATCAAGGATTTTATTTTTGTGCTTATTTTCGTTCTACACGTTTTACTTTTAAAGATTTCAGTACCTAAAAACGCCAGAAATTTCACTATTTCTCGGCCAGGAATATGGCCACCTTAAATAACGTACGTCGTTGTTACGTTAAAATGAATCTATTAACGTTGCTGTTGGAGTTAGAATCTGTTATTTGTATAATGCGTTTGCGGATGTCAAATATATCGTTATTGGAAAAGGGATTATCATGATAGGATAGAGACAATAACAAGGGGGTTCAATTGATTCAATTCAATTTCTTTTATAATTGTACTTACTTATCATCCAATAATGCAATTTGGTGAAATCTAATATTTATTAATTAAGAGCGAAAGAATCTCAACATTAGAGAAATATTAACTAGAATAGAGAATTATTTAATACTTATAAGATTTTGTAACATAATTCTAATAATACTCACAGTATATGCTGAGCATTTACATCAAATTGTATCGTTTATGGATAAAAAATTAGCAAATTACCTTTTGTGGCTATTACAAAAATTCAATTTCCGTTCTGAATTTAATCATAATATAGGTAAATGTTTGAGGAACGATTTAATTTTGGCTTAGTATGCGCAACTTTGTAATATAATGGAAATTTTCTAAATACCTACGTTTATATTATAAACCAATATTTGCAAACGCCTTTCTCGATTTTAGCCTACACTTTACACACTGTTCTTTGCATTATTGAAACACTTTTGAATACCTACTTATAGATACGATCAAATAACAAAACTTTAAAAAAATTGAATGATTTAAGTATAGATATTTGTACTCACGATATGTTTATCCTCATCGAAGGTCATCCATCTTTCTGCGGGGGCTAGAAATGCTTTTCTTTCCGGCTGGACAAACTGGCGAAGGATCGGGGCGTGAGCTTCTGTTTTTATTTGCCATAAAAAATTTGTTCTTTTATGCGCTCCTATGTACAGCTTTTTTTGTTTAACAGCATAGTTTAAATCCGCCAATAGCTCAGCATAGTATCCTCGAGTAGGAAATTCGGTTGTCTGTTTATTACTTCCTTCTTTTTTACTACTGCTACTGCTTTCATCAGTATTTCTTCTCTCCATTTAAATGTCACAACAGTAAATGGCACTGAGACAGTCGTCATTTCGTTTAGCTTTTGTTTCTACACACTTGATTTTAAAGTTACGTTGATTTTGAAAGTGCTCCTCTAAAGACGGTTTTGTCTCATTGTCAGCTTTGAGAATATGTTGTTGTACGGAACATAATGAAAAGTTGCATCTTTACCGTGATCGCTGCCCTATAAATAAAGAAAGATGTATTTATAATTGTTTTGTTCATTTTTAATGCATTTACAAGCACATAATTCTTTTTTACGGATCGTGCACATAATTTACAATATTTAAAAATTCTTATGCAGCCAAGTATACACATGCTTGCATTGTATGTTGCCTACCGAACAAAAACAAATGGAACCGGAAGAAATAATCGAAAATTTCGAGAATTGGTACAGCTAAAGAGGAACAAAATAAAGTTTTGCATTGGTCAGAGCCGTTATAATTCACCGGATTCTTTTCAGATCTTTCTGAGTCCTAAATTTAATGAACACAAAAAATAGTTTCAACAATAAACTTTCGAATATGGCAAATATGGGAAAGGGAAACTGGCGGGAAATCTTGACAAACCACTTAACCTCTATTGTATTTTCAATTAAGAAACATATTAAAGATAATATTTATTTGTTAAAATGGAAGATGAATACAAAGATGTGTTACCAATACCGGACAAATTTGATTTCCCATTTCCACCATATGATATACAACTTCAGTTCATGCAGAAATTGTATTTTGCTTTGGAAAACAGAAAACTAGGCATATTCGAAAGCCCTACTGGGACAGTAGGTATTTACATTTCGAGGTGAAGATTATTCTCATTATTACATTTTAGGGAAAATCGCTGAGCATCCTTTGTGGAGCAATTAGATGGTTAAAGGATCATAACACATTGATACGTAATAAAGTTAACGAAAAAATCATAGCACTAGAATCGGAGAAGCAACAGTTACAGTCAGAGAACACTGATTGGTTGTCTTCACAGTCTAAAGAAATAGAAGTAACACGTATGCTAAATTCTCTAAAAATTGAACGGGATAAAATTAACAAGTATGACGAGAAGATTGAAAATTTGAAGAAAATTACACAATTGAAATTTGATAAAAGAAGAAAGTTTTTTAAAAGGGATAATAAGGATGACAATAAAGATGATTTGGGGGAATTACCCGAGAAATTTATTGATGATGAAGACATTTTATTAGAAGAATGTATAGCAAATAATGAAGAAGAATCCTTGTCGGATGAAGAGGAGGAAAGTAAATTCCACTCAATAAAGGTAATTAAGACTATAAGATTAAGTGTTATATAATTATTACATATTTTTAGATATACATCTGCAGCAGGACACACTCGCAACTGTCACAGTTTGTTGGGGAGATTATAAAATCCCCTTACGGTAAAGACTTAAGAGTAGCATCATTGGCTTCTCGGCAAACTTATTGCATTAATCCGGAGGTATCCAAGCTAAAAAATATGTCTTTGATAAACGAAAGGTAAGCAAATTAATAAGTTCTTCACAATTATCTTTGTTACACTGGTACTTTAAGGTGCATCGATATGCAAAAAAAATCCAAAAGCCAGTTAAAAACCGATGACGATGGTAAAGTGACAAAGAAACAAAAAGGATCTACGTGCCGATGCCCTCATTTCAAGCAAACAATGGTTGAAGAACTAAGCAACTGGGCACTCACCGAAGTACAAGACGTGGAAGATCTCGTGAACAGCGGCAAAGAATTAAACGCCTGCCCTTATTACGCCAGTAGGAAATCTGCGGAGGACGCAGAAATCGTTTTAGTACCGTACAATACTATTTTACACAAAGCAACGAGAGAAGCTAACGGAATTCAGCTTAAAGGTAACGTTGTGATAATAGACGAGGCACACAACTTACTGGAAGCGTTGGCGCAAATGCACAATGCCGATTTGAGTTACGTTCACTTGTATCATGCTCTGAACCAACTTAAACGATACAAAAATAGGTACAACACTCGTTTTTCTGCCCAGACCTTGTTGACGATAAATCAGATCATTTTCGTTGTCACTAAACTGTGGCAAATGTTAGGTAACGGATTTTTAGCTTATAAAACGTGAGTATTATATATTTTTTTATTGTTTTAGATAAAACTAGTAATGTGAATACGACCGAAATATATACGATTGAAAATTTTGTGCTAACGGCACAAGTCGACAACTACAACATGTTTAAATTGTATAAGTTTTGTAAAGACAGCCGAATCGCTCAAAAGGTAACAAAATATAACGTAAACGATACGATTTTTAACATTATTTTTACAGTTAAGAAGTTTTGCTATAAAATATTCCGAAGACGAAGAGGTGTCTGAAAAACCGGCGAAAAAAGGAGTCAAAGACTTTCTAGCAAGTATAGAAAACAAAAAAGTTAATACCGACACACCAGAAGCGGAAACTGAAAGAAAAAACAAGTCAAAAATCACCGTACCACCCGTTAGTAACCCCCTATTAGCAGTCGTATCGTTCTTGGAATCCCTGACGTACTCCTACGAGGACGGTAGAATTTTGTTGGTCAGAAACACGGATAAGTTACAGTGTAAACTGCAGTTTCTGCTGTTGAACCCATCCTCGAGTTTCAACGATATAATTAAAGAAGCGAGATCCGTTATAGTTGCGGGTGGTACGATGAAACCAAATTCAGAATTCAGAGATCGGCTGTTCATCAACGCGGGCGCTCCCGTTGATCGGATAATGGAGTTCTCGTGCGATCATATCATCCCACCGGAAAATATTTTGCCCGTTATCGTAACTAAGGGGCCGAATCGGGAGAATTTGCTTTTTAATTTCGATAACCGGTTGTCTATGGTATGTCTATATTTAGTATTATTTATTTTTTTGCTATTTTACATCTGCATATTAGGTCACTGTCACTGAGATCCACAAACCAAACACAGTGCTTTAAAAAATAGTTAATACGTTTTTTTTTTTAATTTAAGTGACTAAAAAATATTTTAAATCTATCATATACCTATATTTTATAAAATAGCACAAAAATAATTAATTTTTACTCTTGGTACCTTCCTTAGGGAAACAATTTGAAGGCGATCATCCAACGGGTCTGTAAGTCGGTCAAAGGAGGCATAGTGGTCTTCTTTCCGTCGTACAAATACGAGAATTGGGTGTGGCAGCAACTGAAGGACGTAACGTTTGGCAGGCCCGTTTTCAGGGAGCCCCAAACGTCTGGAGCTGTCGATTCGGTTTTACAGAAATACGCAGAAGTTATAAAAAGGCCTTCAAGCAGTGGTGCTCTCTTATTTAGTGTTGTAGGCAAGCCGTTTAACGTTTATTTACATTCGTCTTCTATTTTTCACTATTGTTTTAGGTGGCAAGTTAAGCGAAGGTTTAAATTTCAGCGACGACTTGGGACGGTGCGTTATAGTCGTAGGTTTGCCGTATGCGAATATTACGGCAGCCGACTTAAAAGAAAAGATGACGTATTTAGACAGGAAAGAGGTGGTGCATCGTAATCAACGATACTTTTTATTCTATTGTTTGTTTTGTAGGGTTCGGGATCGGGTAAAAAGTTTTACGAAAATCTGTGTATGAAGGCTGTTAATCAGTGCATAGGGAGGGCCGTAAGGCATAAAAACGATTACGCGACAGTTTTATTGCTGGACGAAAGGTATAATCGGGCTTCCGTTAAAAACGCTTTGCCGAATTGGATCAAGAGATCGTTACGAGTGTGCTGTTACGAGGAAGCTTTTAACGCTCTACAGAAGGTAATGTAAATTACGAAATGTATAGAAAAGTGGGTAATTTGTTTTTTTTTAGTTTTTCTCAGAAAAGAAGGCAACTTAATAACATTTACTGTATTTTTGTAAAAAAATTAAAGCAAAACAAAAATTGTTACATATTTAATTTTTCCGGTTCCCCGCCGATAACCTCGATCCGATTTCGCTTTGCAAAATGTTTTATTTTGTCCTCCAGACTGTCACAGGTAGGCCTCTTCATTATCGGAGTGTATTTCCTAGATTTTACGCCCTGTAGAAGGCATTCCCCTAAATATTTATCATTCTGAAGTTCCGGTGTTTTCACCCGCAGGTATTCTTCATTTAATTCCCGCACCATTTCCTTTATCATACTTTCCCTGTAAAGTAAACTTAGTTCTGACACGTAACGGGAGAAATAAAAACTTACTTTGCAGCGGAATACGTCCAAATTGTGTTCAGTTTATCGATAACTTGACTTAGAGATTCTTCGTTGTAGTGCCATTTTATATCGTCGTATTCGCAACAGAATAAATTTAGTGGGATTTCGTTCGCCATGTTATATTCCGGTTTTCTAGAATGAAATTATTAATATATATTACACAGAGAACTACCTTTTTTTTACCTGGGATTTTGCTTAACGTCAAATAATTCATCAATTACACTCGGCTCCTCCTTATTCTGTCCTATAAGAAATAAAATGCCCATAATACACCGTATTTGATGCCAAAGGAATGCTTTTCCTTTGATCGATATTGCGTACATCGAATACTCTGAAAAAAAATAATTATATTCGAAATTATACTTCGATACACTAACTAACCCTGTGTCAAGTCGTTTTCATTCACAGGATAGATGTCTACTTGCAAAACGTTTCTTATAAATTCTACGACGCCATTGCCTACATCCATTTTACAAAAGTTTCTAAAGTCGTGAGTTCCTAATAGCTTGTCAGAAGCTAACCTCATTTTCTAATGAAAAAAAGTATCCAGTTAAAATTTATTACTTAAAACTAATATATTTTACCTCTATATCCAAATTCCCTTTTGGGAAAAAGTACTTGTAAGTCCTCGTTTTGCAATCGAATCTAGCACTGAAAGAAGCGTTCACAGGACTCCAAGCTATGCATTGTATATTGTCTGGTAATACTTTATTTAATATCTTGCAGTAGTTGATTTCATTATCTATCCTGTCGTGCTCGTCTTTTGTTAAGCTGCTTCTTACATCAATAGAAATTGTTTGTGCAAACGAACTCACTCCTTTATCGGTTCGTCCACACCTGTGGTAATTTGACGACGTACGGTCTTTAATAAGCCTCGTTCTAATTAAGGCCTCGAATATGTAATGCTCGATCGTATTCGTGGTATCTTCCTGTGTGACATATCCTTTGTAGTCCCATCCTAAATAGAATATTTTAAGGGCAACGTGTCTTAAATTACATCTGAAAACGAAGAATTTCAATTTTTATGTCACCACAATTGTTTCGTGATTTACTTGGAAAAATCGAACGACTTTAGGTTTTTATGTTCTACTTGTCTATTACTGTTATCAACGGTTTTAGCTATTATGTTTTTTAATTGTGTGTTGTGAGCCGATAAGGTCTTAATTCTTTCGATGAGCTCTTCTTTCGTACACTTCTCCAGTTCTTCAAATTCTATTGATTTATTTTGCTTTTTTATACAAACTTTTTGATCCATTTTTAATTAATGTTAAGGCATTTATAAATCATAAACAAGAACTTGAATTGAATTCGTAAAAAGTTAGGTTAAGCAGAATAAATATTTATTTGGAACTGCTGTGGGAATTTCATTTCATAGAGTTGGCAGCACTACCTGATATAGCCATAAACTTTAAGATTTATTAGCAGCGTTCGACATTAAAACGTAAATGCTCTAGATTTTGCGCGTTGTCTTTTCATCAGTTGCGATTAAAAAAGGATAAAATATATCCAGAGCTTTCAAATGTCAATACCAAACGCTACTTATGCGTGACTTTTTAACTTTGACTTAACCTCAACTTATCAATAAATCAAATTTTTTCAATTCGCATAAGTAAATGTAACTGACTATACAAATATAAAGTCATGGAACTTTTGTGTAAAGTGCAAAACTATGCTTGGGGTAAAAAAGGCTCTAAGAGCAAAGTGGCTACATTAATCAGCAACGTGGATAAAGATTTTAAATTAAATGAGGATGTACCCTACGCTGAACTATGGATGGGGACTCATATCAATGCACCCTCTATCGTGAAGGAAACCGGAGAGAAGTTGTCATCTGTAATATCTAATCATCCTGAATATTTAGGAGAAAAAGTATCAAACTTGTTTGACGGTGAACTTCCCTTTTTGTTCAAAGTTCTTTCTGTAGAGAAAGCGCTGTCTATTCAGGCACATCCGTCAAAGGTAATTTTAACTTTACAAGATTATTAATGTAACAGTACGTAATATACAAATTTTAGTAGGAACATGCAAAGGAACTTCATGCTAAATATCCAGACATTTACAAGGATCCCAATCATAAACCAGAGCTCGCAATTGCACTTACCCCCTTTGAAGCATTATGTGGCTTTCGTCCCATTAAAGAGATTAGAAAATTCGTCGAAGGTAACTGAAAAATTTTCTTTTTATGTTGTATATTTAAAATATTTTTTTAGAGATTCCGGAACTGTCTTCCATAGTAGACGGCCAGAACATCGAAGAGGACAATTTGTTCTTAAAGAAAGCTTTTAGATCCGTCTTGACTTGCGACAAAACTATGATGGCGGAAACGATAGACAACATTATAAAACGATACGAAACGATTGGTACGTTCTCAACAAATAACCTTATGAATTTTTGTAGATAAAATCGTTTCAGATGATGCGCAAAGAAAAATATATTTGGCGGATCTCGTGGTTCGTCTGCATGAACAATTTCCTTACGACAATGGAATTTTAATGGTCTATTTCTTAAACTACATGCAATTACGCCCCGGGGAGGCTATTTATTTGGCGGCTAATGATCCCCACGCTTATATTTCTGGCGGTGAGTAACATACATGTCAAAAAAAGATGTATTTAAACTGCACATAATTTTTTAGACTGTATAGAAAACATGGCTTGCTCGGATAACGTAGTACGAGCCGGTTTGACTCCCAAGTTTATCGATGTAGACACTTTATGTGGAATGTTAATATACAAAGGTGAAAATCCAACAGACAAGCTATTCAACACGATAAAGGAGGATAATTGCACAAAGTTGTATAAACCGCCGGTCCCTGATTTTGCTGTCGCTGGAATAGAGGTGAGCGGTACTTCAAATATAAGTTATACATACCAGTATTCGCCGTCCGTGACCCAATGTTCGTCAGTTTGGTACGTTTTTGTATCGTCTGAGAATAAAATAACTTAACAATGATTGTTTTTTCACAATTCGCAGAGAATTAAAAAAAATACATAAAAATATGTTTTTGGTCGCAAATTACTTGTCGTAAAAAACTGTAAAGGGCATAGCTTTTGAAAATTTTAAAAATCACCCCTACGTAGGGGTTGAAAAAATTCCAAAAATGAAGAATTAGAATATTACGAATTGATATAAAAACTATTAGCATGTGAATTATCGTAATATATTTTTTATAGAATTTTTACAATTATTTCTAATATTTTCTATTTTTGGGGATGATTCCACCCCCTGAGCGAGTTTAAGGGTGGATTTTCTAATTCAACATGCTTATTTCATTCATGAGAGTAAATCTTTCTTTGTATCAAGAATCATTCGATAGAAAAATTCACATCATGCTAATAGTTTTTTATAATTATTGGTAATATTCAATTCTTCATTTTGGGCGTCATTTCAACCCCTAAATAGGGGTGATTTATGAAAATTTTCAAAAAACTAAAAGCCATGCTCATCTTAATTTTTTACGAAGAGTAATTTGAGACTAAAAACATATTTTTATCTATTTTTTTTAGTTCTCTGCGAATTGTAAGAAAACGGGCGATTTTTGCGGTCACTCTTTACAATAAAATGTACGTTTTTCGAGAAACTACAGTAAAAAATATTTGTTCATGTAAAAGTTATACATCGACTCATTTCACCGTTTTTGAATACGATTCCGAAACTGTAAAATTTTTAAATACATCTCTGTTTGTTATACTGGTGAATTAAAACGATGCTCGAGGACGTAGAAAATAGAAATGATCCCGGGAAAACGTTGTGGATATGCCGAGCTATAACTTGTGGGTGCAAAACTAGTGGAAAAATTTGCGTACTTTATTGGAGATCTATGTTGTAATTAAAACTGTTTTCTTAAGAGGGCTTCTATAGCAAATAGGCAACCAGCAATACATTTTTATAGATTTTCTTACACAGTTTGTCTAAATACGGGTTAATGCATGAATAACAGACTTTCCTCCAATCTAAAGCAGATTTTCTATAAAATGGACTTGGTTTGAAACTCAAATAACTTTTTGGTGCAAACAAATTTGTAATTTAGGATGTTCAAAAGCGGCAAATTACAAATTTCTTTACAACAAAAAGTTATTTGAGTTTCAAAGTACGTCCATTTTATAGAAAATATGCATTAGAATGGAGGAAAGTCTGTTATTTGTGCATTAATTCATATTTAGACAAAGAAAATCTATAAAAATGTATTGCTGGTTGCCTATTTGCTATAGAGCCCTCTTAACCTAAAAAATACCCTGTGCCGAGTAAATTGTGGTTACGTTTTAGATTTCCTCTTCGACGGGGAAGTACCAACTTTTAAAAAGAGAAAGTGCCAGCATTGTACTCGTGATTTCGGGAAGTGCGAACTTCAATGGAAGAGGGATATTGGAACCGGGAAGAACACTGTTCCTTCCTGCAAATGAAGTGTTGGAAGTGACCGATATTACCGAAGATTTGCTGATGTATCAAGCATTTGCAAATATTTAATCACAGGGTTGTCAATGCTTCAATTTTTTTTCTAAGTAGCTCGACGTCTTTGGTGTTGGTATTAGAAAATTTGTCGCAACTGTACAAGAGATAATTTATATTGAAAATATACGGTATTAGTAAAAAAAAAACTGCGAACGAATAATTTTTATTAACAAAAAAAATGTTTGTAACTACTTAAAAAAATCAACTAAGTAAAAATTTTCCTCATAACTTTAACTAAACGTAGACTTATTCTAAATCAGTCACTGTTAAAAAAATTCCTAAAACAAAAATATTAAACAAAAAATTAAGTTGGATTCCCGTTTAAAGATCGACGGTTCGAAATATTTCCTTTTTTTTTCAAAATCAAATCATTTTCAATCCGAACGTTTTTTTTCCTTGTAGTCGGTGAATTGTTACGTTTACTCATACCTTTCTCCGATTATATCATAAATTCCAGCCATACATGTTACTGAACGTTATCCGTCGGCACTATTTCTCCCGTGGGATTATCTGTCGCCTCCACGTCTCCTCCATTTTCTCCCTTATTTAAAACTTTTTCCTCGTCCACACGTCCCTCTATTTTATCGTCCTCAAGACAAGCCTTTTCTCCACTTTGAATTTCTACGACACCACCATCGACATCATGCGAATCCACCGTTTCTTCTACAACCGCCTTCTTATCTTCGCCACCGTTTTCTAGATGACTTTTCAAAACAGCGTCGAGTTTACTCGGCAATTCCTTCTCCTCCGTGCCGTTCTCCTCCCTATACGCGTTGTACCTGAAGAGGACGGCTTTGTGCAACTCCTCATTTCCCGATTTCTCCGCCAGTTCCGTGGCGAATTTCAAAGTCTTCACGTCGGATCTCCTAAACAGCACCGAAGCCGCGTCCTCGTATTTTTTCAAACAAATGTAACTGTAAAAAAAAAAATATGAGAAACTCGTTAGAAACATGGGTAGTTTTTCTTACCACTGCGCTGCCGCTTCGAAATTTCCGACGATGACGGAATACTTCGCCCACCTGTTCATGACGTTCGTTATGGTGGAGTCGTCTTCCGGTAAACGGCACTTAGCTAGGACTAGGGCCTCGCGGTACATCGCGCCCTCACATAACGCGTCGATGGCCTCTTCCACCTTGTGACAGGCTAGGTAGTAGGTCGCTATTTCCACTGGATCCGAGTCGGCCGTTTCTGATAGTTGGTGGGCGTACACTTCACAAGCCGACTGCCAAAGTCTAGGAAAAAAAACGGGGAAAAAAAATTACGCTCTACTAAGAGATAATTCGAAGCAAATCGGTAATTTTTATGTTTGTGTCACAAAAATGTTTATCTTTCTACTTTTGGCTTTTTGAAGTCGTCATTAGGGAAAAATATAAATTAAATACGCTGAACTAGCTAATTTTAACTATTTTTTATGAAGTTAGTAAATTAGCAAAATAGTGCTGCATTGTTTTAAGTATGAACGAACAGTAAATCATAGTCACTACTTTTAAAAAATAAAATTAAATTCCGTTTATTGGTTCTCGAGATATAAGCGGTCAAAGTTTATCGGAATTTACCGTTAATTTATAAACAATTTAGCAATAATCTTTGATCCAGTGGCTTCGTTTTTATATATTTTCATATCCATAAGTTATCGGCAACATAGATAAATCATCGGAAAAGCTGTCGCTCGCACGTGCGAAAATTGACTCAAAACATGAAAAGTGGGAGAGGAAGGCTTCCCGAGTACTTTAAAATTATAATTTTTGAAAAAAATTAAATTGCAAATTGATAAATGTAATCCAATTGTGTAAAATTGAAAAAAATTTCCTGTGGCCGTCCTAATCAACCCATTTAAATTTTTCAAAAACCATTGGAAAGGTTGAGCCGTCTTTTCTATGTGAAAAAATTTTCAAGTATCTAGATTTTTTTTTCGTGTCTTGTGAAAATTTGTTAGTTTATCATGTTTTAAGAGCCCCCTCAAAAAATGAGTTCAATAAAAATTTTTTTAAAGGTCGCTTAAGATTTTTTTAAAATTTTCATTCGTCAAAATTTCAATTTTTTTTTTAATTTTTTTTCTCGCTATTTTATCCATATTTTAATTTCTAAAGGCCACTCATAATTATTTTAACTTTAAAAGTAGTGTACCTAAAAAGTTTTCGAGCAACCTCTAAAATTAAATATCAACGAACTAATAATTTTTTTTTTATTGAATTTGATGAATAAAAGAATAGACATAAATCACGAGACACTTAAACAATTTCTCGAGGCAAAATTTACTACCGCACTGTGAGTACCAAATATTTATAATTTTTTAATTTTTTAAAATTTAAGTGTCTCGTGATTTATGTCTATTCTTTTATTCATCAAATTCAATAAAAAAAAATGATGAATTATTTTTAGAGGTCGCTCGAAAACTTTTTAGGTACACTACTTTTAAAGTTAAAATAATTATGAGTGGCCTTTAGAAATTAAAATATCGATTTGAAATTTTCAGAATCGAGATTTTTTTTTCGACCTAGAAAATGATAAAATAACGAGAAACAAAAATTCAATTTTTTGACGATTTTGGAAATATTTAAAAATCTTGAGCGACCTCTAAAAAAACCTTTCTTTAAGCTGATTTTTTAAGGGGGCACTTAAAACATGATAAACTAACATATTTTCACAACACGAAAAAAATATATTTGTTTTTTTTGAGCCACCCTAATCTAGATGCTTTATTTTGAAAATTTGAAAATTTTTTTTCAAAAACTCAAAACCGATTTTAATGAAACTTGGTATGTTGTTTTATTATACTCTAAAGTTTTTTTTACCAAAATTAGCATGCCCTCGGAGCAATTAAAACATTTAAAAAAAATTATCCAAAAAACTTAAATTTTTTGCTTTTTTTTATCAATTATTGCTATTTTGCAACATCGGTAATAAATTTAAACATTTTTAACTTTCAGTATATTGTGCAAAATTCAATTTTAAAACTTTTTTTCCACTCCAATATTCTTCCAAAATGCATAGGTTCCAAGAAATAAGTAAAAAACTCAGATAAAATAGGTATTGTTTTTAATTTTTTAAACAATTTTGCAATTTTGAAAATGTTCCGGACCTCACCCAGATCTAGAGACCTACACTTTTATTATGCGAGTTGTCCTGAAGATATTCCAGCAAAAATTAGCTTGCTCCCTCTTACATCAAAGAGACAAAAAATTACGTTTTTTTTTCTTACTATTTTTTTAAAGCACTGTGTTTAGTCCATGAATCTCTGTATCAACGACCTCTGATATTGATCTATTTTAGGCGAACTACATAATAACAATTCACCTGATGAGATATGACAACAGAGTGTTATGCGGAAGAAACGTAATTAATTATCCGTTGAATCTAGTCGAAATATTTTTTAAAATAGTTTTTTGTTATCGTCGATAACCTTTTATTTGAAAAAAAGTAAAAAAATTTCACATACAAACGATGTACATCTTCATGTCAAGCGAAAATTTTATAAAAAAAGTACCCTATGGTTTCCCAGAAATTACTATTTAAATTTTACTATATGTGAAAAATTGTTAATTTTTCAGCATACGCGGAAGAATCTTCGCGACACTCCAACTTAAAACTCCCAAATTTTGATGACGATAGACAATATGACTAATTTTTTCAATTTTTTTTGGAAAAAAATCCTTGCGGTAGCTCAAACCAGTTGAGAAAATAAAAAAATTTTGAACTGAAAAAACGAGGACCCCCAAAAAATGGATTTCCGTAAAAAAAGTTAAAAAAAACGTGCTTACTTGGGCGATACCATGGGCGCCATCGTGATCATCCAAGGATTAACCCTCTTCTCGTCGACCGCCTTTTTAATTTTACTGCCGATATCGCCCTTGAAGAGCGACAGGGTATTGCTCAAACTAAATTTTCCTTTTTCTCGATGAGCGGTGTCTAGAACGATACCAATTTATTAAACTTGGCAACTTACAAATAATCGTTACTCACCGTTTCGCTCAATTACGTCCAACATGTCGCTCTTCGACCCGAACACCTTCAAAATATTGCAATTATTATCGCCGCCTCCCGCTTCTACATTGTGCGAGCCTTCCTTCCACAAGAACAGTTTTTTAAGGTCGTCTATGACTTGTGGGGTGTCTTTCGGGTAGAAGAAGTTCGGCAGGAGGTTGTTTTTCGTCGCTTTATTCTTCGGAGTGGGCTCTTCCTGCGGTTTTTCTGCTTTCGGTAACAGGTCCATCTGCTCCTTCGTAATCTCCTTGATGATTTTCTTCCTTAACTCTTTAATTTCTGAAAAACGAAAACAGAGTAAAAATAGCACTAAAAATGTTATCGTAAAACAAATGTACGGAATGGAAGTTTTTTTAATTTTTAAAGGTCTTACCTTTATCTTCTTGTCGGGGATGGTCCGAAATCCTCCAGACTCTAATCGTGTGGTCTTTCACAGCAGATATAATATAATCGGAGTCGATCGGACTCCAAATCGAAGACAAAATCCCTTCGAAATTCGGACTCGTGTAAGTTGAAGTAACGGTATTACCCTCTACGTTCCACACCTGAAAAAACCATACGTTCATAAATATTTCAACAAAAAAATTTAAAAATAACTCGCCTGAGCCGTCCCGTCGTCGCCAGCGATGACCAATTCATCCGACGCATAAGGACTCCAAGAAACGAAGTTAATTATTTCATCAGATTGTTCGTATTTCAGCACGATTTTCTCCCCGTCCGCTATATCCCGTTGAAAGTTGCAAACGATTACGTCTTTCGAGTTGGAAATCGCCGCGAACCTGTAACAACGCTCCGAGGCGTTTGGGTCGCTTTGCGCTGCGTCCGGATGCCAATAAATGTCGTTCAGTCTGTGTTGGAAGTAATGAGTCGACAGTATCTTTAAGTCAGGCGAATACAAAACGACCGTGCCTGAATTCGTGCCGACGACAAGCATCGTGTAATCGGGTTTCCAGGCAAAGGTGTACATGAAGGTGTCGTCTGGAACGTCCACTTCCGTAGGACCTAAAACGTTAAGTCAAATTGGTTATAAAGGGTGCTACTAATTTTTCAAGCAACGATTTGCATGGCGGAAGGGGCGGTACATAAATATTTTGTAGGATATTCAAAATTAGAGTTATTACCTTTTTCTGACTTTTTCACACTGTATATAACAAGTTTCCCCTCCGCTACCGCAAACAACCCTAAATCCTCTTTATTGCCATTTATAGGGCCCCATTCTAGCTTGTGTATCCGCGATTTAAAATAATTCGGCGGGACCGTGGGCGTTTTCGATTTGTTACTCGTATCCAAGAAGCCTATCTGTTTATGAAGAAAAATAGTTAAGAAAACTCAAAAAAATACACCTTTTTCTTTCTTACCCTTCCCTCGGACGTTCCGTATGCTAAAATCAACTCGTTAGTCGGGTGCCAAGCCAGCGTAACGACCTTGCTCTGTATTTTCTGAAAGAAACTCGTCATTACGATGTTCTTTACGTTAGGACGACTCAGGTCCCAGATTTTTATTACACCCTCTGCCGTACCGATCGCTAATCTGAAAAAACATGTAAAAAATTTAAAAAATTACTCGACATTTAAGATTTACGTGAAATATCACCTGTTTGGATCGACCGGAGACAAAGCGAGGCACTCAGCGTTCCCCAAGGTAGGATAGCACGCCAAGTTCTTCCTTTCGCTCGTTAAGTCAGTGTTGAGCAACAGCCGATCGTGCCCGACAGTCCACACATTCATTTTTCTTTCATCCAGCCAATTGTGCTCGTTTAAAAACACAATCGGGGCAGCAATGCTGAACAGCATAGAGTTGTGGTCGCAGTGGAGGACGCTAAACTGCTTCTTTTTGCTATAAAAATACGAGATATTAGGAACATTAATTTCCGACAGTGTTAAACGTACTCTTTCGGTTTTGGTAACGTCCACTTCATAAGCTCGGCGGATTTGGAGGAAGAGAGAAGTACCGTGGGGCTGATCCAGCACAAAACGATCCACAGTTTGTCGGAGCTGGATTTGCCGGACTTACGATGACCTGTTTTGTGCGGGACGTTCAGGAATGTCTGCATTCTGCCGTCGGTGCCTGCCCTCCAAATGTATATGTTTCTAGAAAAGTTCCGTCAATGATAAGCGCAGAAACACACATTTCAACAAAAAAATTCCTTTATTGTCAAAAAATTGAAAAAAATCTAATTTTATTTAATTTGTTTTGTTGCAACTATTTTGACTGTTTTTTTTTTTAATGTATTTATCTCCGTATTTTACTAATTCAAAATAAATTAAAATTTGAAGAATGATATTTTTGAAAAATGTAAACTTTTTTAAATTTTAATGTCAATCAACAAAAAAACATACAATCAGACACCTTGAATTGAAATTTGGCAGCAGAAAATTTACTTTTCACCCACCTTTTGAATATAGACCAACTTCGACTGGAATTTGAAAAAAATTGGTACATACCCCGTGAACAATCATATATTTTCTGTGAAACTTACCCTTCCTTCCCAGACGAAGCAAGCAGGAACTCCCTTCGCGGTTCTTCTTCTACAGGTACGTTTACAGGTATTTCTCTTTTGGCTTCGCCGCACGTCACGTTATCCTGTGCTATATCAATTTTTTCATCATTTATCTTTCCTTCAACTGCTTCTAGGCCGACTTTATCAGAGTCAACTCCAGGAGATTCTGCACTTTCAGTGCCTTTAATACTATCTTTTGATTCTTCTACGTTAGTTTCGTCTGAAGACGATTGTGGCTTCACTTCTTCGGCACCTTCATCGGTCGGTAAGTCATCAGCTTCGCTTTTACTCCCTAACTTGTCCAATTCTTTCTCAAATGTTTCCAAAACATCGTTAATTTCGTCAGTTTCATTCTTGGTATTTGTGGAAGATCCTGCTTGATCTTCTAAGTTCTGTCGAGTTTCCCTGGTTTTATCTTGCTTTCTCTTCGCTTTGATAATTACCCTTTCCTTCTCCCCGTCGCATTTTTCATCAGTCGCTTCAGGCACAGCACGTCCTATAATTACGTTCCTTAAATTTTGACATTCTTTCAGAAAATCGTCAACATTCGAGACGTCTCTAAGTAGAGGATGATTGTTCTCTTGACTCGAAACTCCAAGTTCATCGTCATCGGCATGCTTCAAATTGGACCAAATGTTCCTTTTATTAACCTTATCGGATTTGACGTTTTCACTTACTTGCTCCACTGATTCTTTAGGACTGGCTTCCAAAATTTGATCCGCCTTGCCTTCAGGAGAAGCCATATCTTTTTTTTCAGGACTTTCTTCGATAACCACTTTAGATTTTATTTCTAAAATTTTATCCGTTTCGCCTTCCGAACCCGCATCTTTCTTTTCGCGACTTCGTTCGATGACACTTCCACTTGGATTTTTTAAACCTACGTAATTACGGGGGTCCTTCGGGAATATATTAACGGGTGCGGGACACCACGACAGACACAACACGGATTTATCGTGCCCTCTGAGTTTATAAAGAACCTTTCCTTGTTCTAAAAATAAAACATGTATCATATAAAAATAGTAAATAAACATATACACTTACTTCGTAGGTCAGTTACGATGACTAAACCATTTTTTAGTCCAAATGCCGTTAGCCAGATTGCGTGTGGGCATGTTGATATGCAGGTAATAGTCACTTTCGATCCGAAAACTTCTTTCAAAACGTTAGTTTGGTTCTGGGTTATATTCCAAACGATAATTATTCCATCTTCGGAAGCACTTATGACTCTGTCGTCGCCAGCAAATGTGGCCCCAATCACCTTCGCGTGTCCAACCTGGAAAATTGATCATACACGTTAAGAACAAAATATTTTCAAATTTTAAAACACGTACATTTACATGTGCATTATGACCAAGTTTCTTTTTTCTTGTCTCTATATCCCATAATTTAACAACATTGTCCTCTGCGACAGTCACCAATAGCTTATGGGGTTGTCCCCAATTTCTGTTTATGTTTGTGGATATAATTCTAAAATGTAAGAACATATTTTAGTTCCTTAATATACAAAAGTTGTAATTCATTACATTCGTTGCTGCCATTACAGTTTATAAAAAATAATAAAAAATTCATAAAAACAAAGAATGTTTCATATTTATCTCAACATTAATAAAAAAAAAGTATACAGACAGCCACAATCACTCTTATCTTTTATACAGAATTGCTAACAAACGACTCTAATATTGGGATTACTGGGAAACATATTCGATACTTACTTTTGCGAATGGGCCCTGTGTATTATCTTGACGTCTGATGGTTGGTCATCTGGGGAATCGTATATTATTACGATATCATTTCTTGAACCGTATATCAACGTATTATCAGGTGCACATGCTAAAATTAAAGTTTCGTACCAATTGGCAGAAGGAGGAATTACTAGATTATTCATTTTTCAAATCTAAAAAACACACATTAGAATTAGAGGTTCAATTAAAGTAGACAAATGACTAAACTTATTTTTACATTTAATTTTTTTTTTCTAATTTAATACGTATTAATTTCGTTCTTTTCTTACCACAAAACCGCCCAAACAAATCAAATTTTATGCCTCTAACCTCTAACCACTAAATCCACTAAATTCAAACACAAAAAATGTAAATGTCACTAACCCTAAACCTCTTCATCTTCTTCTTTGCCGTCAAATGAAACTAGGATGGTATCTGAGACTGAGATAAAAACTGAATGTTGACGACAGTGGTGGTTCCAGCTGATTATGAATTATGAGATTTATTATGACATTTTTCGAAATAGAAGTGATGTGGTTGGATGCATTTTTGCATTTGGTATGAAGTAAAAGTTGAAATACTTAACTGAATAGACTCAATTTTATATATAAATTATTAACGTTATTTTAAAATGGATTTCGAATTAGAACTAAAAATATTTACACTGAACTGTTGGTATGTTAATTAAACTTTAATATTTTTTATGCTCATTTTAACATATTGTTAGGGGTCTTGCTGTTGTATCAAAAAACAGAAAGGAGAGGATTCAGGCAATAGCAGAGGTGTTGGCGACAAGTCAGTATGATGTAGTTTGCCTACAAGAAGTTTGGACCGATAGGGATTATAATTTAATAAGAAAAAAAGTGTCTGGTGTGTTACCTTTTTCGCATTATTTTTATAGGTAAGTAATAGTATGTTTCAATAAAATACTGTTTTATTCAATTTATATTGTAATAATTACAAGCGAAATTAATTTTAAGAAGGGATTAATAAAAAGACAAAAGGGTAATGACCTTTCTTTATTGATGTCCATAGTAAAGAAAGGGATGTTGCAACAGTTTTTTAAAAATTGTTTTTTTTTTTAGTGGGGTCACTGGTTCAGGAGTTTGTATCTTATCCAGGCATCCTATAGAAGAGACTTTCTTCCATCAGTGGTCAGTTAACGGTTATATACACAAGTTACATCACGGTGACTGGTTTGGAGGAAAAGGCGTAGGACTTTGTAAATTAAAAATTAACAACTTTAATATTAATGTATACTCTGCTCATGTAAGTATTTATAGAATTTATTGATCAAAGTTCATATAAATATTATTGTCTACTATTTTTACTGCTTCTAAATTTAGAACAAATAAGAAATGCAATCAATAAACAGTTTAGTAACTGCCTGTGTAATAAAATAAGAATTGGTAATTTTTTTCAGTTACACGCTGAATATGATAGAGAAAGCGATGAGTACCAAGCGCATCGCATTCTCCAAGCTTACGATACTGCTCAATTTATCATGCTCACATCAGGTGGTGCCGACTTAGTTATACTAGCAGGAGATTTAAACACCGAGCCCGGCGATTTGGCCTACAGGTAAGTACACGTAGATACAAAAACACCGAATTAGAAGAAATTATGACTGTTTTAGAGTTACATTATGTGTGCCTGGGCTTCTGGATGCCTTCACCGAAGCAAACGAAGTTCCGAATGACAAGGTGGCTACCAACGAAAGCCTCCAAAACAGTTACACCCCCTCGAGTTTGGTCAGGAAGAACATCCCCGGCAAACGTATCGACTACATCATGTACCACCCCGGCTCAAAAATCCACGTGGACCTAAAAAAGTACAACCTACCGTTACCGGATCGTGTTCCCGAACGCTCCTTCAGTTATTCCGACCACGAAGCCATCGAGGCTACTTTAGTTATTAACAGGAAGGAAATCCCAGACCGAATCAGGGACTTGGAACAGAAGAAGATCGTGTTGGAAGATAGCCTGGTCGTTTTGGAAGACGCTCTTCGTAGGCTCAATACTCACCAGTTGATATATTTGATATTTTCCCTAGTTTTGTTTATTACGCTCTTGGTATCCGCTGTACTGGACTCGCCGGTTGGATACGCTATACTTTTTTACGTTTTGAGGGCTTTAATTACGGTGTTGATGGTATTTACGATTATAATGGCGACCATCTGGAATAAGATCGAGAGGCATGCCGTTCTTGCCGGGAAGCTGGCTATAGAGGTTACCTTGAAAAAATATAACGTCAGCGGAAACTTATGATCTTAACTGTATCAGTCTAAATATTTACATTTTTTTTTCTCGTACTTTTGGTAGTTATTATTTATTTTAGCACGTTAAAAAATAAAACGGTTTTCCTCAGCCTTTTAAATAGGGTTGTTCCGGATGTAAGATTTTCGGTATTCGTGAATAAGAATGCAAAAACGAATATTAACAAATAACTAAAAATTAGGTACTAAAAATTGATTTAGAGCTTCTAAAGAAAATCAACCCAAAGAAACAAACTTACGGAATTTCGGAAATACTTTGTGAAATTGACAATAACTACACTTGATGCTTTAAACTTTGCAACGTGTAGCATCAACCTTTTTCTTCGATTCCATAGAATACCCATAATATAGAATGCTAAATGCCTAGGATTACTTATGGACGATATTCCGCCATCTCTTGTTGACGTGTGGAAATAAATTGGGCGGTAAATTTAAATTTTTTAGAAGTATTCTCTACAGAAATTGTTTTTTCACTATTTTCCTCTACAAACTGCAAATTTACTAATATTTACTGATAAATAATAAATATACGGCTGTAAAGATAATAAGTAAAAATTAACGATCAACAATCTATAAATAACGTAATATTTATTGGGCAATAAAAGTTGTTAAATTATTATTAAATTAAACATTATTATCATATATTTATTTGAATTGATATAATATTTAAAAAACATTGCAATTGTTAATACGAATATTCGGAACATCCCTATTTTTAAGGTTTAATATGATTAAAATCATCTCCGCATACTTTAAAACTTACTTCCACCTAATTTCAGGAATTACATGCTAGATGTACCGTACAACATAACATTGAAAGTATTATTTGCATTTAATTCACAATTATTTTAGCGAGTCGTGACAAAAATAACAGTTTACATTAAATTGTGTCCAATTATACACCTTTCTTGTTTGCGCTTTACCCGGAACAACTTTTTTATCATATCCCATCCTGTTTGCGGGATTTGTTGGACATATCGACGGATATCACATTAAATTCGTAGTAGAATTGATTTCTTTAGACAACTTTCATTTATTTGTTGGTTCGGAATTTTTAAAAATAGATACAGTCGGGGACAGATAATTTGTAGATATTTTTGGTGCTGTTCGATAAATTTTCTCTATGAATAAGCTTTAAAATGTGATAAAATTTAATAACAATTTCGTAGCGTAATTTATGATTTTGTTTCATTGAAAATTTGGTCTGATGTAGCTATACAAATATTTTTGAGGAATTTTTGTACATATCTTAAGGAAATTCTTTGTTTTTCAATATCTTCTGACTGATTTTTGGGCTTGTTGGATGGTCGGGAGTAATTTTAAATATTATCAATGCTGCTCAAAGGAATGTGTCTAGAGGTTGATATTTTATTTTAGATAATTTACGTTTAGAAAAAATATTCATAATAGCTTAGAAGTTTAACACAATTTTGTATTCAGACGAGCCAAATGTGATGTAATTTCATGTACCAAATACTATGCTTTATTTTAGAAGAATTATTCCAAGTTGATTGTCCTGTGATACGTAATTCTGTATTTATACTACTTAGCACTTATTTTCTCTTATTTTCAGCTATTAATAAATTAATTTATAAATTTGTGTGTTACTTAAAATTCCCTTATCTGAAATCCCACATTCCGAGCCAGTGCTTTTACACAATAAAAGAATACAAATTTCAATTTTTTTTTCTTTTTTTTTTCACGTTTCATATTGATAACAGAAGTGGTGGATTTAGAACTGTTATAAAGACGAAATATGTACATGGTGTTCCAATTTTTTTACACAAAAAACAAATGAATCAGGGCCTGAGAACTTATACTTGAAAAAATGGGGAAACTCTGGGACCCATGTGACTTGAGATGGATATACAAGTTGGGGAAAGAGTCTATAGATGTCGCCACAAAGATTTTGTAGAATAAATTTTGACAATTGCAATTATGAATCATTTCATGTCATTCTTGTTCATGTTTAATGTTTATTGTTGGTTAGGTTTGGCGAGTGTTGGTGTGTGTTTTATTTGTGTTTTTAGTGTGTTTTATTAGATATTTCATTCACATTTATTTATATAACATAATAATGTCTGATCATCATATAATCACATTTTTTTATTAATAATAAAATTTTTTTTTTTTTTTTTAATAAAAAATGTGATCAGAGGTAGGTAGTTTTTTTTATGGATATCAACACAACGAAAAATTTAAAGTTGCATAATAAATCTCTATTACAAGAATTAATCAAAGATTGGTTTAGTAAAATTATTTACTTGTAATATTTTTTATTCACCGTGAAAGCTAATACAATATAGAAAACACTGAAACTATAATCATTTTCACTCTTTTTTTTTCAAAATATGTACTGAAATTTGAAATTTTTTCAACAAACATTTTAAAAAGTTACAGTATCAAAATTATTTCTTATTTTAAGTAGGAAGACTATTAGAGCATTTAAAAGTGTCTTTAATGCTTGAGTGATTTTAATGCTTTCTATCAAATGTACTTATTTTCTCATGGTGACAAAAAAAATTATCTACGTGAAAATTATTTTACAAAATCAATTTCTGAGTGATCTGTGTAGGGTGAGATTTGTTATGTAATTTTAAATTTAGCGGCGGCAAAATACCTAAAACAAATATTGAGTAGGTAGGTATATAGTTGTAGAGCGTACAACTAGATGGCGCTTGCATCTTTTACTGGCTAAAGGTAATTTAACTCACTGTATTACCGATAATTCCTAGAAAAGGAAAGCAATGGAAGTTGGATAAAGTGTCAACAGTTAGCGCTGTTAATGACCACGAAATCTGTTCAAGTTTCCTATCTATAGTATCATTTATCTAGGAAATGAATATCAAATATTATAAAGTAACTAGACTCGCTGAAAGGTGGCAGAGTATGTCTGAGTTTGTGCGCCATCTCTCAATTAGATGCCAAAGTTTAATATTCAGTGGTGTGGTTTAAAACCTGGCTCGAAATTAATTGAAAATGGCGGACATGTTGATCGCAGTGTCAAATAAATTTCGCCCATACTTTTTAGACCTATTATACGATTTCAGACAGCAATATTTTTAGAAATTGTCTAGTTATTTAACTTAAATAATGACAACTTTTCATAGCGATATTTGATGGTGTTTACCGGATACAAATACTTACATTTTATTTTCTATAATAGGAAATTATTTGACTTCAATTTTCTTCCTTGCCTACTGCAATATTTTGTCTTACATCTAACAGCTAACAGCACAAACCAGCCTATTGCCTAAAAAGTTAAAGTATTATTGAAAATAGGTCTACATTTTCAAATACCTAATTAAGAAAAAATAAAATAAAGTAACGGAAATATATCAGGAAACGCCGCATTTTATTATATTTTCTTTAATTTTAATATTTTACTGCCGCCTAGATTTGAAGAAATACACGTCATGGCCATCTGTTTAATTCCCATTGGCTGCTGTCATTCGACACAATTATTCCAGAATTTGTATTTGTTATACGAATGCCAGTTTTTAGTGAGATCTGGAAAATTGTGTTAAAAGACCAGTCATATTAGAGGTAATTAATTTCGCGGCGCCTTAACGTAAATCATTCGTCGTATTTCACCGGGAAATAAGCTGTACTTATCCAAAATTTACTGCCCGTAGACTTTTTGAGGTTAGATGTCATTACACCCCAGTTTTTAATTTAATATAAATTTATTAGTCTAATTAGATTTAACTTATTTAAATTGATTTTGCTTGTGTGTTGAAATTTTTATAGAAGGTATTGTGGTATTATTTCCAACAGTAATAATTGTTACAAGGCAAAATGACTGATAGAAGTCCCATTATTTCTCATGGTCATTAAAAATAAATTATTTTGTTTGACTCGGCTGTTATCTTTGTTTGTACATCGATTAATTTACTTTACAACAAATTTTTATTTGCAGTTTATGTGGCATTGACTACACAATGAGCAGTAATATATGCTACACACTGTTTTTTGTATTGTTAACATTTAGTGGAAATCTAGCTGATGATATTGATGTAAGTATGAACATCTAACGGAAATGTTTTGTTTTTAATTAAATAAATTTGACAGGATGGTGTTACGGTAGAAACAGTCGAAGACAACTCTTCGCTTGATATACCTTATGAGAGCCCGAAAATATCCGATCCAACACCGGTCTACTTCGCGGAACATTTTGATGACCCCGCGAGGTTCGAGAAGCTGTGGATAAAATCTCAGGCTAAGAAAGAAGGTTTGGAGGAGGACATAGCAAAGTACGATGGAATATGGGCTCTTGAACCTTCTCAGAAGGATAACCTTCCAGGCGACAGGGGATTGGTACTTAAATCCAAGGCTAAACATGCCGCTATCGCTTCGAACTTACTGAAACCTTTCGTCTTTGATAAAAAACCGTTGATCGTGCAGTACGAGGTCTTACTGCAAGACGGCCAGGAGTGTGGAGGTGCTTATTTGAAGTTGTTGAGCGAGAGCAAGGAAACTAAAAATCTCAACAGCTTTCACGACAAGACGCCTTACACGATCATGTTCGGGCCGGATAAGTGTGGCAACGATCACAAATTACATTTCATATTCAGGCATAAGAACCCTCGTAACGGTACCATCGAGGAAAAACACTGTCAGAAGCCCAAGGAGAGGCTGGAGGAGATCTTTTCTGATAAATTACCTCATCTTTATACGCTCGCCTTAAATCCAGATAGCACCTTCGAAATATCCGTCGATAAGAATGTTGTTAATTCGGGAAGCTTACTGGAGGACTTCGTGCCTCCTGTCAATCCCGCGCGGGAAATTGATGATCCCAACGACAAGAAACCTGAGGATTGGGACGAGAGGTAAGAAATAAGTACAAAAATACTGATTCTTACGTGTTTGATTGTTTTCGAAGGCTTTCATAGTTAAATCATAATTTTAATCCTTACTTGGTGTTTATGGTCCTCTTCTAGACTGAATATAAATTTATCTCGAGATGGTCAGGTGCACCTCAAGGATCTCTTTTGCAAATTTCGGTAAATTTTTATGGTTTGGAGACGATTAAATTAAAACCGTTTCCTCACCTGCCGAACCAGCAGTTTTTGGAAATTTTCTTTCATTAACGACGACATTTGCCTTCTATTTAGAGAGAAAATTCCAGATCCGGACGCCAAGAAGCCCGACGACTGGGACGAAGACGCGCCGGCCCAGGTGATCGACGAGACGGCCGTCATGCCCGACGGATGGCTAGAGAACGAGCCCACTCACATTCCGGACCCGAACGCTGTAAAACCGGAAGATTGGGATTCCGATATGGACGGGGAATGGGAGCCGCCGCTGATCGAGAATCCTGTCTGCGAAACTGCACCGGGGTGCGGACCTTGGGAGCCCCCGTTGGTAAATAATCCCGCGTTCAAAGGCAAGTGGCGGCCGCCCATGATCGACAATCCCAATTACAAAGGCAAGTGGAGGCCGAGGAAGATTGCGAATCCGGAGTTCTTTGAGGACAGGGAGCCCTTTAAGATGCATACGGTGGTAAGTTTTGGGCGGCAGCAATTTTTTTATAATTTAAAAATTATAATTTTGCAATTAAAATAAGTAAGTACGTTGAAAAAGTTGTCACTGATTTTTCAGTTGTTAGCACGTTTAAGTTTAATTGTGTATCTCTATTAATAACTGAGATAATGAGGTGGATGGATGCCGTTTAGAATTATTTCATGTTTGTACTGTGTATATTTTTTTATTTTGGGTTTAGCGAAAATAAGAAATTTATTTGCCTGTTTCCAATATTCGCGCTCCTTGTGTTTTTTTTTAATTTTTAATTAACTAAATGACAGGAGAGAGCTCAAGGTGCGCCCTTCTGCGCAAGAAGGTAGTATAAAAAGAGGCAGGCAAGTGTGTATACTCGGGTTCCAAAAGTTGAACATCCAAGAGAAACCACAGGAACGCCCAACAATCGTATCGCTTGTCTGAACCAGCACACGTTCATGCTAAAATTGTTATTTATATTTGCCCTGGAGTTATAAATAGTATCCTTGGCACCAAATTCTTCTTCAGTTGTTGTTTTCGATACGATTTAGTGCAGCTGCATGCGAGGTATCGATTCTAACCTCGTAAATGGAACTTTTCAAAGCTGTACTGTCTTTTACAGTCGGCTGTTGGTTTCGAACTGTGGTCTATGTCGAAGGACATCCTCTTCGACAACATAATCATCACCGACGAGATTGCAGTTGCCGAGAAGTGGGCGGCCGATACGTTCGACAAGAAACGTCAGAAGATCGCCAAGGACTCGGTGAGTAAAAAGTTTTGAAACGTTAACAAAAAAGTGATTTCACTTTGTGAAAATTCTCGTATTCCTCGTTACTATTGCATTGGTTTGACATGATCTTCGATTATTAGGAAATAAATCGAAAATGGTGTGTTGTGTTGATGTTTCGATTTATTTTAAAATCATTTCAGCACAGAAAATTCTCGATAATAGAATTTGTAACATCAAACACGTAAAATTGTTGATGTTAATGAGAATCGTTGCCGAAAATAATGTAAAGATTTTAAAATAAATCGAAACGTCGACATAGTATAGGATTTTAACTTGTAGTTTTTATAACCGAACAATCTTCTTGCATTGTTCGGGAAATGAACAATCTTGATTTTTATTCGTGATAACCATTGAATAAATTTTTTATTGCAAGCTGAAAGGATTTGCTTTATCATCAAGGTCACATTATCAATTAGTCGGACTACAATTATCTCCACGCTCGATAAATATCGGAGCGATTCAGATGTAATAAAAAAATTCTGATAATAACCTTTAAAGTTTTTTTATTTAAAAAAATTTATTTCTCATATTTTTTTCTCTAAAAATTTTTCGAATTTGTTTGCCTCGAAGTAAATGTGGGGCGCTAGCTAAAAAATCTTATTTTGTTTAAAGCCCTATTATTTCTGTTTAATTTCAATCGGCGTTCACTTACAGTCCACCTTGTGGGGTAAGATGATGAAAGCGATGAACTACAAGCCCAAGGCTTGGGCGGCCTACGCGGTGTACTGCGCGATACCACTTGCGTTTTACGTTTATTATTTGTATCGTACGGTTAAAGAGGTAATTGTCCAGTTGAAATGTGGTAGGCTGTACGATAAGCTCGATGTATTTTTATACGCTGATTTGTTGTTATTTTTTTAATTCTCTTGGAGGTAGGGTCGTTTTCAGTGCTTTTTATTGTATTTATTTATTTTTTTAGTAGTAGTTTTTTCATTTTTGATTATTTTGTGTAAAAAAAATACATAATTACTTTAGCGACTAGATGCTAAGTTCGCACGACAGATGGAGCCGTTTGCGCTCCCGCGTACACTATTAAAGCTTTTGCCTCATATTCTAGAAGGTTCAAAATACCTTTTAAGCAAAAAAAAAAAAGATTTTTTGAAAATTCTACAGTGGTGTAACCCCTTAATAAAACATTTCTCCACTTTCATACAATTTTTAAGAATTTTGATGAGACATAACGATCCAAGCCGTTATTGTCATTTTAAAAGTGTTATATTACGTTTAATTTTGTATTTAACCTTATCGGTATTGGAAACGACCTTATCGATATCCACCTGAAGTAGACGCTAGTAAGTCATCGAGCCGTTTCTCTTTTCCATTAGGAGAGCTTAATCCAGAAACTAGCAAACTTAACGAACGACTACCCAATTCTGTGGGGAGTGTACATCCTCGTCCTTGCAATACCCGTAGTATTCGTCTTGTACGTCTTCTGCCGACCCAGCTCCCCGGCTAGTCAAACCCAGGTAACCGCTACGCTGACCGCTAGCTTTGACGAAGTTATCCGAGGAATAATTTAGTTTTACTCGGATGGCTTTGTAGAATTCAGAGTATTAACTAGAGTATCGTGTTTGCGAATTAGGAGAAAGAGGAGCTCAACGAGGCGGCAGAGAAGAAAAAGACTGACGAAGCGACCGAAGACGTAGAAGAGGAGAATAACGAGGCGGAGGCCGAAGCGGAGCCCGAGGTGAACGACGAGGAGGACGCGGAGAAGAATTCCGAGCCGGATTCCGAGGAAGACAATGAAACCGTCGACGACGACCAGGACGACGAGGAGGACGCGGAGAAGAATTCCGAGCCGGATTCCGAGGAAGACAATGAAACCGTCGAGGTAAGTTTCTTGTTTTACGACTTGGGGTATCGAGTATCTCGTTTCGTTGTTTAGGAGAAAGACGCGACGGAGAGCAAGGCGTCCGGAGACGGTACGAGGAAAAGGAAGGTCCGCAAGGACTAAGAGTCTCCAGCACCGCACTAGTACCATTTTTGTGAGTCTGCATCTATTTATTGTTTAGCTAACGTGTAGTATTTTCCTTGCGAGCAGGGTCTGATTTGTTTAATCGTTGAAAGATATTTGTATTTAACTTATAAGAACTAGTAATCGTAGCTGGGAAATTCCGAGAAACTGGTTTTTGTACATATTTTGTGTAGCGTTTAGTTTAAGATCTTTTCCATGCATATTTTGTAAACAGGACCAGAAATTTTTAGTTCTATCCGAGCTAAAATAAAATTTTAAACTACCGTCGTTATTTATTTCCAACAAGTAGGACGCAGTCGCTTGGATACAGATCTGGGAAGTCAGGTGTCTGAAGCAAAACATGAAACACGGGCTATATTTACATAATAGCCATTTATTTGTAACATTAAACATTTAATAGACCAATTACGAAGCGTGTCTTAAGAGCAGCTATGATCCCCTTTGGTTATAATGATCTCTTCGGGATTCTGTTTATCGTTCTCCACTTCCTGATAATTTTCCGGCGGATCGTCCTTGGCTTGCATAATGAACTGTTGCGTGTGGGAAATAGTCCTACTTCTCCGAAATTCCTTGTCCGTCCTGTCCTTTATCGAGCTGTATTTCCTCTTCAGCTCTATCTGTACTTCGGTGTTCAAAAGGCAATAAACCAAGGCAGCGAACAGCCCCTAGAATGTCCGTTATTGTAGCAATCATCATTTACGATGAGATTTGAGACACAGACAGAGTGAAAATAGTTATTATTGAGCAGTAGCCTCCTTTAACGACTAAACTGATGCTAAGCCACATACTATAACGTCTTAGATCATTTACATTAAATAAATAATATTTAAGATGGGGCTAGGTCTAAGATTTAGCACGCAACTTCATCATAAATGATGTTTGCTACATGGTATATACAGTGTGATTCAAAAATAAGTGTGATAAGGTAAGTAAAAGTGTGTCAGTCTTATTTTTTGTTATCCCTTGTTGCACTTTATTTATTTTTACCTGAAAAGCGGTGAACGTTTGGTCGAGGAAAAGCCAGATCACCTCCAGGATGTGGCTTTTTTTAATGTAGAGTGACATTAGCAGTGAAAATGAATATGGGACTCCAAACACTGGAATCAGAATCAGCGTTGCTTTTAGCAGTTTCCTAAAATATTCAAGCATTATATTTTTCAAAAAAAAAATTTTTAATTAGTTGCCGATGTTTTGGTTTTGTTTTACACCATCCTCAGGGCTCTAAAATAGAAACGGCCAATTTTTTTAAGATACCGACACCAAAATATTGGCAATTAATCAAAAACTGTAAAATTTACTATTGATCTATATCCCACGAAAACTGTTGCTATAAATATTTATACAGACTATATTTGTTCAGTTACGAACAATTTATTACCTGTATTTGAATCGTCTTTGTTGAATACATGCATTGTTGAGCTTTAGAATTAATACTAGTACCATAATTAAAAATAGTAAAAAATTTATCTGAAAAGGTAAGCAAAATTAAAAAGTCCATACATTTTTATATCTTGTGCAAATGTTAGAATATATTGTGGCTGAGACACATCCTACATCGTTTGTCACATCTTAAATGTCAGCACCTACAAATAGTAGTTCATTTTCCGAGTAGGTGCAAAGTAATGTTTTGTGCCAGTAGGCATTGAGTATCAACGAAAGATATGACAATTATGACATATAGTTTGTAGGTTATGTCTGCCTACTCATCCTCACCCAGAAGTTGAACTTACCACAACAGTAATACCTATAGGTAAATCAATAAATAATGATATATAAATATTTTCCTTCTGCGTCCAGCACAGAACGTCTTCATACATAGTCCTCAGCACAATCCATGGTATGATAAAAAAGAAAGGCAAACCTGAGGAAAAAGAAGTATGAAATTTCTACTTCGTTGCTTACACTTTTTAGGCGCTTCATACCCAACACTTACCCCAACCCAGCAAGCAATATATTCTTATACTGTGGTTATCCGAAAACAAATTGAAAAACATCAAACTGTGCAGGTACATCCCTTCCATCAACATGAGCATAAAGTTTGATAAAATGAAATACCAACGAATGCTTATTATGGCCTTGCACACCCATGACTAAAGAGGAAATAAGTGAATTACTGTGCCTATTTTATTAATTTTTTTGGTCTTACGTAATTTACATCTTTTATGAACTTTGGTTCACCGTTTATGTATTCGGTTTCATACACCAAAGCTGTACCACTTACAAACAGCCCATCTTTTAATATAGACATAAAGCATCTCATTATGAATGACACGAACAAATTGATATGGAGTTTATTCCGTGGGCAATGCAATCTTCTAAAAAAATAAAAAAATGTTTCAAACTCGAATTGAACACATTTAAAAAAATCTATAGATTTCAAAATTTCTTACTGTATGCTAACGAGAATGCAAAGTGCAGTGATCAGAGTCACAATAGATATAGCGTATCCAAAGTATGAAATATTTTTCAAGACGGGTAGCCATTGAGAATAGAAATGATGCAGTATTGGTGGGGCTTCCGTTGAATTTGTTTCGATAAAGAATGGCCCACATTCTGTTAAATTCGACCATGGCTCTGAGTGATTTGATGGGACAAACCAGGTTCCGTTCTCAGTGCATTTCCTGGAAGCAATTCCCTAAAAAATTCAAGGTATATTCGATTGGATCAGCACCTCTTTCTCAAGATAAGAAGTGGAATCCGGTGATACTCGCATTTTTACGATACTGAAAATAAATTGACGTCGGACGGAAAATTTTAATGTATTTTTTTAATATTTATGCCAGTAGGTTTTGAGTCACAATGTCATTTGACATATACTTTATAGGTTATATTTCACAGCGAGGCCTAAGCCAGTAGGTACAAAGTAAAGCTTTATACCAGTAGGTTTTGAGTCACAATGACATTTGACATATACTTTCTAGGTTATATTTCACAGAGCGACCTACGCCAGTAGGTACAAAGTAAAGCTTTATGCCAGTAGGTTTTGATTCATAATGACATTTGACATATACTTTCTAGGTTATATTTCACAGAGCGATCTACGCCAGTAGGTACAAAGTAATGCTTTATGCCAGTAGGTTTTGAGTCACAATGTCATTTGACATATACTTTCTAGGTTATATTTCACAGCGAGGCCTAAGCCAGTAGGTACAAAGTAAAGCTTTATGCTAGTAGGTTTTGAGTCACAATGACATTTGACATATACTTACTTTCTAGGTTATATTTCACAGAGCGACCTACGCCTGTAGGTACAAAGTAAAGTTTTATGCCAGTAGAGTTTAGAGTCAAGTTTCAAGTTTAAACATCAACATAATAATCAAATTTGAAGCAATTTCGTGACTTTTTGCAGCTAACCGTTTTGATATAAATTAGAAATTTGTAAATATATCTTCAAATAATAATTTATTAAACCTTATTTGTACATCCGTATTTTTAACACATTGTATGTTTCACCTTGTATTTTTTTGAGAAAGAATGAAACGTAAGACAAAATTAATTAATTAAATGTATTAAAATATGTTTTATCTTCACTATTTCTAAACGACTTACCGTTTTGATGGACTTCAGCAGATCATTTGAACACGGTTGGACGGCTAATTGGCCAGCCCTGGTGAAAGGCCAGCAAAAATAGCCGTCAAACACGGCCTCACAGTAACCATCGCCCAGAGAGGCATTTCCCTCCAATTGCAAACTGCGACAATAATTTTGTAAAGTGTGAAATACTCGGTCGATCTGTGATTCGTTCATTTTGAAAACAACTTCCCATCAACTCGTTTCACATTAACTTGAGTGAGGAGAATCGAAGGATGCGTAAAATGATATTGGGCGGATTTTTTAATATTATTATTCTGTTTACTCTTGCCCTGACAAAGATGAATTGCACAAATATTTAAGTAAGTATAAAGCTTTCTGGTACTTATCTATATTTTTATTAATTAAACCAGTTATAATAACATCCAGATATTTTTTTAGGAGTAATCGTGTAATGCTGTTGGGTAATTTCTTATTTCCATATCTTAAATATAAACAAAACAATACATATTTATAATTGTGTATCTACTGGGTGCACAACTTTATAGATAAGGAGTGATTAATGGTATCGAAAATATATAAACTCGCAATTATAGTTTACATTTGTCTTGGCACTTATTTTTAATAATTTCATAAAAAAGTTATGTATATACCTACTACAGACATTTATTTTTCAATACTCTGGAAAGCAATATCGATAATACCATTTGATATATCTAAAATGTTGATATCAATTGCCAATGATATATTGTTATTTACGATATTTTTAATTAAAATAAAATATTTATTTGTTAAAAAATATTGAGGGAATCAGATATCGAAACACCCAGTAAATGAACTTGAAAGGTTAAATCACGTTAAGTGCGCTATCAAAGATTGATCATTTTACTTTGGAGGACAAATTTGATAGATTGATGATGATGAATAAGAGCATAAAAATAAGTTTAAGGGCAGCTATCCTTAATTTTATTATTCTAAGGAATATTTTTTACCACAGGAAATTTTCGTAAAGAATAATATATCCATTCTGAAAAATAATTTTGACCTGGTTCATTTAAATTTAAATAAAAACAAATTATCAAAAGCTATCACAGCGAAATGTTTAATTTTACATTTAACAAAAACAATAATTATGTAATTTCTCTATATTTAACTTCAGAGGTAAATATAGTTTAAATATCGATAATGCTTAAATATGAATCGTAGTATCGTAGTAATTTTTTAATTTAAAATGTGAAAAAGACCATTGTCTCTATTCATAAGTAAATATATCTAAATTTTGCGGTATTGCAATCCTCCTTCATTTCTACTTGCGAATTTTAATTGTTGGAAATCATTTCAGGATCTTATTCGTTCTCTAGTTACCCATTCTTTGCCTATCCGAAAATTGGTAGAAATGGCCATTAAACGCAATTGAAGTTGAATGATTATTTCGCCAGATTTAACAAACAGTAACCTGTACGGCTCTTGCACACGGGCGGTATTTTTCCGAACGGCAAAATAACAGACTAAATTTTAAATTACACATAGTTAGTTAAATAAAAATATCTTTACACACAAAATCGTTGCCGACAAGTTTGACGGTTGGCTGCCGATCGGTCAACCACCGCTAGTGTGTAAAAGCCGTTAGGTGAAATAACTCGTTTTGAAACATTTCAAGAAGAAGAAGAAGTAGTTAACCTCAAAAGAGATTTTTAAGGATTTGGTCTCGTGATTGCTTTCAAATATTCAAATCATTTCTATGAATATTTAATATTACCTGGTGTCTTGCTACGGATCTATAGTTAATGTGATGTTTTTAAATAATCAAGAGTCTATGTCTGCTTTTGCGGTGTACAAAAAGAAAATAAAAAAGAAAGTTAAAAACAAAACTTCTGAAAGTCCACCGGCAAAAAAACCAAAACTAAATAGGGACCGGCAGGTAAAAGTACTTAAAAATGGAAATGAAGGAACTGTGAAAAACATTGGAAAGCAGAATGGAGTACAGAAGTCAGGCAAGAAAAAGAAGAAAGCTAAGAAAAATAAGGAACCAGTTACGCATGTGGAAGATGATGAAGAACCACCACTTTTAGTGCCAATTGAAAACAGTGATGTGGTAGGAAAACAGAATACTGAAACAGCATTATCCCATAATTACCACGAAGCTAGTATATCGGAATTTTTAACAGATTTGAACAAAACAGACCCATCTCCCGACGGACTGAAACTATTCAAGTGGCTCATTGCCCCAGTCACCCCAAAAACATTTTTCGAGACCTACTGGGAACAGAAGGTATTGTTCATTAGCAGAAATCAGGCCACCTACTACAACCAAATATTAACTACAGAAAGACTCGACGGTATTTTCAGGGACTTTCCTTTATATTACACTAGGAACGTCGATGTTGTTTCTTACGAAAATGGGGTAAAAGAAGTACACAACATGGAAGGTAGAGTTGCCGCCGCAACTTTATACGACTTTTACACTAACGGATGCAGCATCAGAGTTTTGAATCCTCAAACTTACGACCAGAAGGTTCATTTACTGATAGCTACGTTGCAGGAATATTTCGGAACTATGGTAGGGACTAATGTATACTTAACACCGCCCGGTAGCCAAGGTTTTGCACCACATTACGACGATATAGAGGCGTTTATTCTACAACTCGAAGGCAGGAAGCACTGGAAGTTATATAAACCCGTGTAAGTAAATTTTATATTGTTTTACCTCAACAAATAAACGTAACGTTTTTATATAGAGGTCCGGACTTATTGGCAAGGGATTCTAGTCCGAATTTAAAACACGAAGATATAGGTGAACCCTTTATGGAGGTTACGTTGAATGCAGGCGATTTGTTGTATTTTCCGAGGGGTACGATACACGAAGGTAGAACTGATCCGGAGTCACACTCTTTCCACATAACGGTGTCCGTTTACCAACACACTGCGTACGTCGATTTGCTGGAACACATTCTTCCAGATGCGCTACAAAGGGCGGCTGCCGAGAGTGTGGAATTTAGGTAATTTTAGGCGTTTTTTTGCGTTGTATTACTAAAATAGTTTCATAAATCTTATCGTCCTTAGACAAGGACTTCCTTTGAACTACCTGAAGCACTTGGGTTGCGTAAATAGTGATTCCCAGACGAAAGAGAGGGCGGACGTTACAAACAAAGTACAAAGTTTAATGATGACTTTGATAAGTTACGCTGATGTCGACCAGGCCACTGATAAGCTCGGCAGAAAGTTTATGTACGATTCCATGCCGCCCGTACTAGCGAAGAAAGAAATCAGGCATACGTCGAAGCTCGATGGAGATTTCATGAAAAGTGGCAAAATTTTTAACAGGTTCGATATATTTTTTCGATCTTACAACAAATTGAGCTTCAAATTTCAAGTTTGAACTTGAAATCTCGTTAAAAAATTAAAAATTTTAATTTCTCTGTCTAAGTACGATCATTTGTAGGGTTGAAGTGGGAATGGACACGCAAGTACGTTTGTTGCGCTACCACTGCCTCCGTTTGGTCGTGGAGGAGGACACGGTTAAACTTTACTACAACACCGATAACGCCAAAGTGTACCACGGGGAGGAAGAGCAGTTCTTGGTTATCTCCAACGAGTTAACGCCTTGCATTAAAAAACTCCAAAACAGTTATCCGGAGTTTGTGGCCGTCGAGGATTTACCCAATGAAGACGGCATCCAGAAAGCTCAATTGGTCGCCGACTTGTGGGAGCGGGGGTTGTTGGTCACGAACGGCCCGCTGCTTCCTATTTCCGATGAAAGTGGTGATGAAGACGACTGATATCCTTCGTTTATACAGTTTGGTAACCGGTTGTCGACCTTACGGACGAGGGTGCTAGGTGGCACCACTCCCCCAAAATACCCGTCGGCCTTATTTGTACTACAAACAAGGGTGACAGGAGCTCTTGGCGGTGTCGCCACCTAGCGTTCTCATCCGTAAGTTTGATTTAAAAGGAATCGAGTCCGCCGATAACTTTTCAAGATTTGAGTCCTATCAAAAAAGTTTCATATAAAAGTTGACAACTTTTTGTATTAGAACTCAATCCTGAAGAATTATTGGGCGATTCGGGGCTTTTGGCGACACCTAAGGTTAATATTATACATTAAGGATTTTATTACGTTTTGTTTTTAATTGATTTAGACACGTTTTCGTCTTTTAAAGGAACTAAAATCTGTTTCAAATATTTTTTTTAATGAACTATAACCAAATGTGATACATTGATTGAAATAAATACTAAATATCGTAAACGCTAACATTTATATCGACACTACGCCTACCACTTCCTCGGAAAAGTTTTCTCGGTAGTGTATATTATATAAAAGGTACAAATAGAAAAATACTTTGAATTTTTGATAGTAAATGATAATCCGGGCCCCGTTTCACTTATATCCCTAGACGAGGAGTTGCCGTTGCCTTTTTGCTTAAAAATAATTCATACTTACGGATAACGGAACGTAATTGTCTGTATTTGAGGTTGTGTAAATTTAACAATTCAGAATTAGGGCCTTACAATCCCACCACAGGATAAAATTATATAAATTGATTTAAAAAAAAATGGTAAGTCGGATGATCTTGCGTTACAATTAGATGATATAATCTGGCAAGAATTAACAATAATTCTTGTTTAGGAATCTGCGATTTTACTTATTTATAATTTTATAGTATAATGTTAGATCTGACGACGATTTCCATATGAAGTGTTTGACGGTTCTCAGATCCATAGAAGGTTCCAATACCTAAAATAAAACTTCTTGTTTAATTGTGAAATTTTGGGTTTCGACACAAAATTTCAAATTAAACGTGAAATTTCGAGTTAGTTTTATATTTTTTTCTAATTTATTACTAAACTCAAAATTTTGAACAACACTTTGGATTTGAATGAAATCTTGAATTTTAGTTTCAAACGTTGAAACTCTAACATTTGCATTTAAAGCGAAAATTTCCAAGTTTAAATATGTAACTTCACATTCAAACTAGAAATTTCACAATAAAATTCCAAATTTTGAGTTTAAACATGAAATTATATTTTTGATCCTGTGTTTGAACAAGAAATTTCAAGTTTACAAGCAAAGTTTTGAATATGAACTGTAAATTTCGAATTTGAGCTTAAAATTATGTTTTTTTTTTGTTCACTTTTGGAATTTAACCTTCGAAATTTGTTATTTTTCTTTGTTTACTAAATTGTGTATCCTGAATTGAAAATTTTGTACTAAAGCTCTAACATTTGCATTTAAGGTCAAAATTTCCAAGTTTAAATATGTAACTTTACATTCAAACTCAAAATTTCACAATAAAATTCCAAATTTTGAGTTTAAACATGAAATTTTATTTTTGATTCTGTGTTCGAACAAGAAACTTCAAGTTTACAAGCAAAGTTTTGAATATGAACTGCAAATTTCGAATTTGAGCTTAAAATTATGTTTTTTTGTTCACTTTTGGAATTTAAACTTTGAAATTTAAGTTATTTTTCTTTGATTACTAAATTGTGTATCCTGAACTGAAAATTTTATATTAAAGCTCTAACATTTGCATTTAAGGTCAAAATTTCCAAGTTTAAATATGTAACTTCACATTCAAACTCAAAATTTCACAGTAAAATTCCAAATTTTGAGTTTAAACATGAATTTTTATTTTTGATTCCGTGTTTAAACAAGAAATTTCAAGTTTACAAGCAAAGTTTTGAATCTGAACTGCAAATTTCGAATTTGAGCTTACATTTGTTTTTTTTTCACACGGAATTTAACTTTCGAAATTCAAATTATTTTTGTTTGTTTAATAAATTGTGTATCCTGAACTGAAAATTTTATATTAAAGCTCTAACATTTGCATTTAAAGTCAAAATTTCCAAGTTTAAATATGTAACTTCACATTCAAACTCAAAATTTCACAATAAAATTCCAAATTTTGAGTTTAAACATGAAGTTTTATTTTTGATTCTGTGTTTGAACAAGAAATTTCAAGTTTACATGCAAAGTTTTGAATCTGAGCTGCAAATTTCGAATTTGAGCTTAAAATTATGTTGTTTTTGTTCACATTTGGAATTTAACCCTTGAAATTAAAGTTATTTTTGTTTGTTTACTAAATTGTGTACCCAACTGAAAAATTTGTACTAAAGCTTTAACATTTGCATTTAAAGTCAAAGTTTCCAGTTAATTATGTAACTTCACATTCAAACTCAGAATTTCACACTAAAATTCGAAATTTTGAGTTTAAACATGATTTTTTATTTTTGATTCCGTGTTTAAACAAGAAATTTCAAGTTTACAAGCAAAGCTTTGAATCTGAACTGCAAATTTCGAATTTGAGCTTAAATTTGTTTTTTTTTGTCACTTGGAATTTAACTTTCGAAATTCAAATTATTTTTGTTTGTTTAATAAATTGTCTATCCAACTGAAAAAATTGTACTGAAGCTCTCTAACTGCATTTAAATTAAAAATTTCAAGATTAAATATTCACAATCTTCTTCTTCACAATTCTTCACAATCGAACTCAAAATTTTGCATCGAATTTGAAAAAAAAATATTGTGAGATTCCAAATTTGAAATTTCAAGGACAAACTAGAAATTTTGCAACATAAAATTTCGAATTTGAACGTGAAATTTTAAATTTTAGCTTCTCGTGTCAAATTATTTTTTGTTGTACTAAATTTTAACTATGAATTCAAAAACAGGCAAAAAAAATTTAAAATCAACTTCTTAAAAAAAATTTCTTTTTACTTTTTAACTAAATATTTTGAGCTTTCAATATGACAGTGAAATAAACCAACGTTTTTCTCACCTGATCGTTACAAGTAAGTTCGATCTGGTCGACGTTATAGCCGTTGTTAGACGGAGTCGAATCCGCATCTCCTCCACCGGGAGAACTCGCCGACCCATCGCCCAACAATTTCTCTAAAATATGCTCCGCCACTTTCCTGCACTGGATGAAATCGTTGGCTACCAATCTGTCGGGCTAGAAAAATACTTAAATTACTACCAATCCAAGCGAGACGTCTTGAAAGTCGTACTTTCTTCATCCTGTCCTGCTTCAAGAGATGTGATGGTACGCTGGAATGGGGCTGAAGGTAGAACTGCACTTTGATAAACTTGTTGGTACAGTTCTCTTCTATGTTGGATATGACCCAGTTGGGGACGGTTTCGTTCAAGAGGGCGTTTTCTGTATCGCCCGACGTGTCGCCAACTAATACCCTGTAGAGAGTTCTCCCGCCAACCTCGCTGAAAGGATATTTTAAGATTTAAGGAATATTTAATAAAAATTATCATACTGGACCAATACACTCGTTTTGTTTAGTGTCTTTTATATATTTTTACCTTAAAATGAGTGGGATATGCTTTGGTACGCTGAAATACAGCCTGTTCTCGGGATCCGTTTCGACTCCCCGCCAATGCTCGAACAAAGCCTGCAGCAACAATTTCCCGTAATTAACTTTGTGATCCGGTTCGGGAGTATCTTTAATCCCCGCGTCTCTAGCGGAAACCCACGCTGAGAAACAATCCACTTCGTCTTGGCCAAGGTGTATCGTCAACATCTACAAGAAAAAAAACAACCAATAAAAATCCTATTTTCAACAATATTACACTTACCCCCGTTTTCAGATCGACGTTGAACCAATTCGGCACATACACCATCTTAAACCTCCTCTTCAGCTCATCCTGGAAGTTCACCTGTCCCAAATCCTCCACTTTCTTCGCCTGAAAAGTCACGATTAGTTTCACCAACCAAATATCTACCAGGCTCGTACCCGTAGAACGTCGTATACCGCCACGCTCTCCTGGGCGTCTTTCGTTAAGATGTGCCTTTTGTCATTTAAAACCACCGCCTGTCTTATGGCGGCGCCCCCTGGTATGAGCGACACCGGCGACGAAGGCATCTTGGCTTCGTCCTTGAAATGTTTCTCCGTGGGCAGTTTCCAGCAACGAATGCTGGAGTCCGACGTCGACACCTTCAATATAAAATGTTACGACTAAAAAATACTCTTCGTATAAAAATTAATGCAGTGTTAAATACGCGCGACAGTTTTAAATTAGATTTTCTCTCAAGTTTTGTTAAAAACTGAAATTTCAATGTGAGGAATAAAACCGTGATTGAAAAAAAGGAGATTGTTAAAATCAGATATAGGCTATTCTCATTTTGTCCAATCGTTGATTGTCATTTGTTTTTTTTTTCCTCTTTTTGATTGGTTGTAAGGCGGTAACACCCTGTTCAGGCGGATTGACATTATGTAGTCCACCTAACAATGACAGAGCTCATTAATGCTGAGAATCATAAACTAAACACAGTGATTTTAAAATTGTAGCAAATACGATTTATTAAAAAACATTTGAAAATTTTTTTATGTTTAACAATTTGTCCGTATTGCAAAGTCATACAAAAGCTTCTGCTTTTACAGCAAAAAGGTAACACCAGAGAAGAGCGCACATAAGACCAAGTCCAGGTGCTGCTCAGTGATGGCGTAGACAAGAGTTAAGAGTAGTTTTAAAAATTAATTATAATTTGACTAATTACTTGATTGAATAATTAATTTCAGATTAGTATTTCGGGAATACGTACTACCATCCCTTAAAAAACTGATCCCCACTTAGACTTACACCTTGTTTTAATAAAAGAATATTCAAACGTTACCCAAACGGCCTGTTGGTCCACCGTGAAGCACATTTTTAAGACTGGTGCTTCCTCCACACACACTACAATGCTATTGGAAATGTTTTTTAAATCAGTCATTATAACCTGAAATAAATAAAAGGCCAAATTACAATTGCAGAAACACATTTTACGGATTTTTTCGTATGTACTCGCCTTTTTGTCTCTTCCCCCTGATATGACATGGCTGAAGGTCTCGGTGGCAAGCAAAGCCCAAACCGAGTCCGTATGGACCCTAATCGTCTGAATATTCCTTAAAAATCATTAATTTCTAAAAAAAATTCATTACCGAGAATATTTTATTACGGTACCTCTGAGATCCGAGATTCCAGAGCTTGATGGAACCGTCACTGCTGCCTGACAAGCACATGGTGCCATCTCTAGACACCACTAAGGCTTTTACGTTGTCCGCGTGACCTAATAAGTTTTAAAACTGAGTAAAAAAATAGAAATAACAATCTTTAATCCTACAAAATAATTTGTATTCGGAAAGTTGCACAAGAAGAATCATGATTTACGGTTATTATTGTTATTAAGTAAAGAGCACCTACCTTTCAATTTAAACAGTTTGGCACATGTTCTGGGATCCCACAGCCTCAAAGCTTTCTCCGTCGATCCGCTAACGATTATACTACCAGAAGGGTTCATCGCTAGGCTGTAAATCGACTCCTTACTACCAATCAAGCTTGACGCTGCAATAATTCACGTTACTAATCCCTAATTAACTATTATATATCACCGTACTTGTAACTGTGTTGTTGCTTGCCGTTAGAGCTGTTAGAGTGTTAATATCCCACAAATATATGGACTTGTCCAGTCCGGCAGAAGCAACCTGCTCGCGGTCTTTAGCGTAAGCTAATGCTTTGACGTAGTCTTTGTGAGTTCGTAAAGTTGACATGCAGAAGCCTTTGTGGGCGTTCCAGACTTTAACGGTAGTATCTGAGCTCGCTGATATCACTGGCGTGAAAAAGAACGTGTGAATAACATAAAATATGTAATAAGTAGGTGCTTACAGTGTCTGCCACCGCAACATAACACGATATCATTCACCCAGTCGGTGTGATGTTCCATTCCGTGCAGGAACCTTTCATGTTCATAGACCCTTATTATGGAATCTCTTCCTGCGGAATATAAACGGTCAAGTGCTGGGTCAAGCTGAAGAGCGTTAACCCCTGATCTGTGTCTTTTTTCTTCTGCTTCGCATATTACCATCGATACCTATTTGAATCACATTCAACAAAGCCAGATTAAGCTTTACTAAATATAGAAATTATCATTGCAGTTTTATAATAATTCTAAATTAATTAAAAACAAATAAATGTGATAAAGCTGATAACATACCTGAACTTTCTTACGAGTGTTTTGACTTCCTGGTTTTAAATTCGCCATAGTATACTAATTGTTAGCTTTCATTTCAAAAAAATTTGTGAAATTATTACTAAGAACTGAATATTTTATATGTACCCTTTGTGTATTTAAAGGGCTTAAATTACAATAATAAATAAACGTCCACTACCCAAACAGGTTATGTTTTTTCTTTCAATTTTTCATAATATTGTTTACAGTGTTGCCAGATGACTTTTTAAAAAGAACCAAACCTGAGCGGATTATGGTTAGATCTTTTAAAAATTGCAAACGTTCTATGATAATAAGCTTAATGACAAAATGCACCCGATTAGCAATGTTTTTCGAAAGTACGTTGCTAATGCAAACTCTAACATTAGATTTAAAAACTCCAGATCTGGCAACACTGTCTGTCTATTTCTTCTGGCCTACAATACAAACCTAGAAAGTATCTACACTACAGGGCTTTTTGGAAACTGTGATTGTGTTATTCCGATCAGTAGGATCATTTGTTCGAAAAGTAAACCAGTTTATATTAAAAAATATTTGAAAATTGTTAACAAGACTGCATGTACTAAGTCAGTCAAAAATAGTTGTGAGGAATTAGGTACCGTTATTTGACAGACTATATTTTTCCTAAAAGATGGAAGACGAAGAAGAAACAACAGCAATATTGAGGTTAAATTTGGATTATGCATGTTATTTATTGATATAACGTGATAATTGACTGGGTATTTCTGAGGATTTGATAATTCTCCCAAGTATGGCAGATTCTACTGAAGAAGAAGGGCCGAAGACAAGCGGTCCCATTACGAACGCCTGGGAAATGAAAGTTCCAGAATTTAAACCGGAACACAACCCCCATGGCCTGCTGGAAGAGAGCTGCTTTGCGACATTATTTCCACAGTACAGGGAACAGTATTTGCGACAGGTGTGGCCCTTAGTTCAAAAAACTTTAGGCGAGTATCATATCAAAGCAGAATTGGACGTAATCGAGGGCAGCATGACAGTCCGAACCACAAGAAAAACTTGGGACCCCTACATTATCATAAAAGCTAGGGATATGGTGAAGTTAATGTCAAGAAGTGTTCCTTTCGAACAAGCAAAACGAGTGTTGGAAGACGAAATCGGCTGTGATATAATTAAAATAGGCAAACTTACGAGAAACCGAGAAAAGTTTGTTAAAAGACGGCAGAGGTTGATTGGACCAAACGGTTGTACCTTAAAGTCCATAGAATTGTTAACAAACTGTTACGTTCTTGTGCAGGGTCAGACAGTATCTGCTCTGGGGCCTTACAAAGGATTGCAGCAAGTTAGAAAGATAGTGGAAGATACCATGAAAAACGTTCATCCGATTTACAATATCAAAGCACTCATGATTAAAAGAGAACTGGCCAAAGACCCGAAACTAAAAAATGAGAATTGGGAGAGGTTTTTGCCTAAGTTTGTTAGTAAGAACATCAGCAAACGCAAACAGCCCAAAAAGAAGAAGGAAAAGAAGCCTTACACTCCGTTCCCGCCACCTCAACAAGAAAGAAAGGTATTTATTAAAGATATTTTGTGTGCGGCTATTAAATAAATATTAACTATTTTTCAGGTGGACAAGGAACTCGCCACTGGTGAATATTTCCTTAGCAAAGAGCAGAAACGTGTGAAGAAACAGAAAGAAAAAGACGAGAAACACGCCGAAGCCGCTAAGAAGAGGACAGAGAAAAGGAATGAGGCTTTCGTACCACCAGAGGAACCCAGTACTTCGAAAAAAGAAGCTGATATTGGAGTGGACGTAGTAGCATTGAAGGAAAAGATATTAAAAGCTAGAAAAGGGTCTAAATTATTTAACAAAAGCAATGTTTAATTATGTAACAGTCAAAATAAATATAGAATTTTTTGAAACACCGTTTATCTGTTTTTAAACACCCTGTATGTAAATATTAACGTTTTTCAAAAAAAGTATTTCGCGAATCGCAAAAACTAAAGTAATAATAAACTGTTATTTCAATTTATTTACACTTTTTGAAGCATGTGTTAACTTTGACATTGACATATTTGTATACGTCTAAACCATGCAAGCTCTTTTCAAAAAGAAAGCAAAAAAAGTACCACAGTCTCCTACTGAAGATGAAAGCCCAGTTCCTCTCGTTATTAAACATGGTAAACTTGTGCGATTAGTATCGTACAACACCATCAAATTCTTATCGGGAGTCTGTGCTGTACTGCTCATTGGCAATATAATTTTTTCGTTGAAGTTATTTTGGTCTTCCGTGAGCATCACCACGAACTTGGGAGCCTACATAAACATGGTATCGAAAGGGGACGGACATATCCTACCGTCGCTACAAGCTATCCCAGTTTTAACCTTCTTAATTGTAGATTTTGCTTTAATGTATTTTACGTACGAGCTCTTCGACCCTGAATTGAAACCGAACCTAAATCGGATTCTGTTTATGCTAATAATGGTCAGTTTAATTTTAATCGTAGTTACTTTAGTTCTACTCATCGTTATAATACAACACATTTACGGATTACACGAAGAGCTACACAATGGAATCATAGAAGCGATGTCAAACTACGCAAGTAATTCCGTGTACAAAAGCCAGATCGACAGGCTGCAGATCGAATTCCAGTGCTGTGGAAGCAAAAAATACGACGAATGGTATAATATCACCTGGTACGATTCAAGTTTGACGAAAAATAACGCTAGGTGACATTTTATATGGTTTTATTGTAATATCAGCTAAAAAAATTACTTTACAGTGACAACTCGCAGGGGCATACCCCTTTTAGCTGTTGTGCAATGTCCTCGATATTTCCGTGCATCCACCACAATATAGAGAATACAGGAAAAACTTATCTCTATACGCCAGAGTTAAATTTGAGTGTTTCTACACACGGTTGTTACGAGAGGATCCGGCACGAAAAGCAAGAAGTCGGATGGGGTATCGTAGGAAATCTATTTTTATACATTATATCCCAGGTATATCCCAAAATAATTGACAAATATCAATATTAGTTCGCCTTTTACCATTTTTTGGCGACCCAAATTATATCCAACATGGTCAGCTCAATTTTTCTTGTCAGACCTTGCAAAAATTATTTTGGTTTGGGTTTAGATGTCCATGTAACCTCAACAACCAAAAAACCTCTAATCATGTAATTAGTTTATTACTAATCAAAAAATTAAGTCGAGACTACTAAAAAAGGTCTATCCTATGTATTTTTTTTATTTAGGGGGCTACGGTAATTTGTCTACGATTTCTACAAACGGCTCATTATGAAAACTGTAGATTTGAAGGCCATAAACGTTTTTACACAGTTTGGCTAATTGGATGCTACGCTGGAAGGAAAGGTACTGCTGATGATGTTGCAGTTCCATACGATGACGACGGTGAAGCCACAGAACCACCTGAAGTACCGCCAGTACCACCAGACTTAATGGAATAAAAATAAAAGGACATTATTTTTACAAAGTGATTTATTGTTTAAATTGTTATTATACCCGGTGTTTATTAACACCCTGCATAAAATTATTGTAAAAGACTAAAAATACTGTTAATTATCGTAAAAAAATAATTTCACACCAAATCAAAAAACCAAAATACTAATTTATCACAGATAGTGTACATGGACGGAAAATTCAATACGAAATCAATTCATCGCAACAAATCTTTAAAAAAAAGGTTACCAACAAACCTGCTTGTCCGATATCAACTGCTTAATTGTCTTCTGTGTTATAAGCCTCATGCAATGTGTCGGTACCGATGAACTATACAAAACGCACAGGATGTTCTCGTTAGACTTGACAGCATGGCATTTGTGATATTCCGAACACCAATATGTCTCCGTCCCAACGTTTGACTCATCACAACCCATTTTGTCCTTTGAAGAATTATTTTCGGTTGCGTTGCCACCACTAGATCTATTCTTACTCGGTACAGTAGGTACTAGATGGCTTAAAACCGCTCGATAGAAAAAAGTTCTCAAAATATCAAGGCGGTGGGAGCTGCTCGTAGGTTTTTTGGCAGAGTTCTGCTGCGGGCTCTTCGAAATCATGTATTTTCCAATACTGGTGTTCACCAACAACAAACTAAAACGTAAATCAGAAAATAACAGTACAGAAAAAGAAACTAAAGCAATCGTACCCTAAAACATTACCATCGATGGCGTAATTGTTAGGAAAGTTCTTCGGGAAGCAATGCAGAGCAGAATTTAATATATCGGTGGAATTTTTGAAGCACTGCATCACCGAATGTTCAACGTCGTTTAAAACTGGGGTTGGCCCGCAAAGGCAACACAGTTGTACCTCTGGTATTAAAGTACATGCTACGAATCGGAACGCCACCTATCAACGACATAAAAAAAGTTTCACCACTCACTCAAAATCACATTTTAATTCTAAGTACTTACTGTAGGGCTCTTGTATGGCAAGAAAACGGGGATATCCTTGGAATTGGCAGTGTTTTCAGAAGTGGCAAGTAAAGAAAGAAGTTTTAGTTCATCGGGATGTAGCGACCACCAACTTTGTGTGGCGGCAGCAATTTTTCCCGATATCAGCACACAACTGAACATAGAGTCCACACATTCTGTAAAAGAGTCCAGTACAATCTAAAAATAAGACAAAGTAAACTTTATTTCATGATTGACTATTTATAAACATACCTGAATTAAATGATTTTCTGGACATAATATTGTTTCCACAAACCCAGCTAGATCAGAGGAATGTTTATTGGTTGAGTCACCGCAGTCTAATGAATCCAACAACCTGTCTATGAGAGGGTAACACACCTACAAAAAACCTATAAAGATAAATTAAATATAATGAGGAAATCTTACCCTTAGCTCACGTTTCAACCTTTCGATATTGCGTTGAGTTTTAACTTCTTCTGTGCCCACTATCAGTACAACTGCATTAAAAACGGATTCTAATATTTTATTCAAAATATCAACAGAACACCCACTTGCTATACCAATAATAACAACACTGAAAATATTTAAACTATAGTATTTTTTTGTTATTAAATTTGTTCCTACCTATCTACAAATTCTTTCCAAGCAACAACATAATCATCAGTGAGGCTATTTATCATTTCTATGCCAAGCGGCTTTCCAAACATGTGCACCCCATTTAAAGAACCAATAATTGAAAACGGTAGCTAAAATCAGTTCCTATATTAAAAAAATTCATAGTTTGAAGTTTGAATAAGCTGGGACTTGAATATTTTAACATACATTTTCACAATTGCCTTTTTTTCTCGAAAATATGGGCAATCCACCTCCAGATGTAATACAAACTATGTGAGCAGACATGACAAATAGAGGGTGAAAATTATAGTTACTAATTTTACTACTCTGTTATTACATATGTACTAGATCACAGTTGGTATAATACTAGATATTTTTTATTTGCCTCTCTTATATGAAATGTAAATATGGTACCAAATCAAAAGTAAACACACAGTAATAATAATAATAAACAGAAAAATGATCTATGTGACAGCTGTCAACGCTGTCAAGAAGGGAAATCAAGTGTCAAAATTCAATTGGAACAACAAAAATAGAATTCTAATCGAGATATCAGAAACGTGGGTATTGTAGTGTATCTATAGTATAATAGATGTCGCCCATTCGTTTGAGACTATTTCATTTGTTTTCGCGAGTCTGTCAATAGAACTTCTTACATAATTTATTTCTAAGAAATTAAATCAAGGCCGTCAGTCTAATACAAGATAACGGACAAATACCCAGTTAAGAATTGATTAGAAAATGCAGCCGCTATTATTATTACCAGCTTTTAAGAACTACACAAATTTATCGAACAGGGTAGCGAAGCAAACGAGCGTAGCGGACAATATCAATACAGAAATGACGAATCGAAGCATTCGCCGTCTCTATCGAGCCCTTGTGAAAGTAGAAGAGGATGAATTCTAACACGCTACAGCTACACCCTTGGTTGCAAAAACAAAACACAAACACGGGCGATGGGCGAATCAGTATCGCGGCGTCCGTGGATGCTGTGGTGTTTGTTGTTTGTCACGTCAGTGGTGCGTTGGTTATTCATGAACATCAGTGTTTAGTTTAGAGTGTTGTGACTGAAAAACTGAAATGATGAGAAGAAATGTTAAAGTTTTACTCCTCTTTTCCATGGCATGGATGTTTGTTATTATTTATTACTTGCAAACTAACGGAGACACCAAGGTACGTTTTTTTTGCTTTATTTCTTCGCCGATGCACAACAAATGATTTTTGCCTAGTTAATTACTTATCTAGTCGTCTGGGGTGTATAATTTTATAAAATTGCATAAAGTCTAAATAATTTCCTGCCATTTTATTTATGGAATTTAAGATATAATAACTAAACTCTGCTTTACATAATCATACTTAACCTTTTAAATTTACCCTATTATTCAAATAAGAAATTGTTTTGCATCGTCTAAAGAAAATATTTGTTACGTCTTACAACTATAAATGAAATGTACAAGAACATTTTAAACGTTTAGAATTATAGAATACTTTTATTTTTACAACCCAATTTGTTTCGTTTATGTAATTATAACAAAAATACTGGTACATATTCTTAGGTGGGTGCAGGTATTTAACATTTAACCAAAATAGCACATTTATTGGCAGTTTTTTACATTTTAAACAGGTAGTGCTTGAATGCAATGCAGTTTATTGAACTGTTAAAAACTACTGAAGTATTACCTGTTATGTATTTGTAATAATGATGAATGAAGTAGATGATCCTAGCATTACTGATATTTAATCGATGCAAATAATAGTGGAAATAATTATTTGTTCTACATTGACTACCTACGTTAGGGTATCTAGATCTCAACTCAAACGATCCGTTTTATCGATTCTTCAGAGCTGTCTAGATTTAATAGTTCTATTTTATATTATTCATCGACTGTTCAGGGGTATCTAGATTTAAAATATTGAACCTTTCGTTATAAACAACACTAATAAATAGGAAATTGTTTAAAATGTTTATGTATGAATGGAGGTGGATGAGATTAAATTAATTTTAAGCTACTAGGTATACATATCTTTCTGAATAAATCCTATTTTTTTCCATTTCATTATGTTGATACACGATTAAGTTATACTACATAAGATATGCTGATGAAATAAATACAAACAAGTATGTAAAAATGTTATTTTTTTCACTTAAATTTTGACATAGATACTTGTTTATCATAAAACGATTTTAATTTATAGCGACATTATTAATGAAATGTAAAAAGCCATATATTTAGGACGTGATATTTTGATTCCGATATGTCCAGCCTTGACATTAACAAAATATAGAAAACGAAAGTTAGAGACGTGGTTATGTCGAAATGTTCGTATGTCAGGGACAAATCAGAGATACACGTAATGCATCCATATGCTTTTACACCTGGTTAGCAGGATTGACGATAATAGCACGATGGGCAGGTAATTAGCTATAAATCTGTGGCAATGTCGGGGGAAAGGACGTGTTAATTCCATTTGAATTACCATTACCATTCTAAGAGACGAGGTGTTAGCGATATTTTATCGCTTTGTGGTCCGTCCTCCAGAGCACATCCGTTTGGATTGTTTGGAACTTATGTGGGAGGGGAATTTTTTGATATTTACGTAAAGTGTCGGCTTGTTTTCATGGTCTAGCTAGAAAGTGGATCTGCTAGCTTTTTTTTTTAAGTTTTAGTTCTTTTTAGTATGTTCTATTCCTTATGTAATAGCAAATTCGAGAATTTATTAATTTAATATCGTACTTCAGGGCAATCGTAGATAAATAGACAGACGTCCTCAACATTTATAAATACCTACTTTCTAAATAAAATTTTTCATAAAAGTCATGTTAAAATTGTATTGTATTAGGCTATTGATTATATCCAAAAAAACAGGGTTAAAATGAACTATGACTTTCAAGCAATTTTATTGCATGAATCGTTCAAAGGGTCATTTTAGATGAAAAAAAAATGCACTTTGCAGTTTTATTACTATAGCATGAAAACGAAGCAAAATTTCGGTATAGTTCATAGGAAAAATTTTGTAGAGAATTGAATTTCCCATCGGAATGGCTTATTTAAAAAAATTTAAAAGGAAAATTTTATGCAAAAAATCGTTAATAAACAATTTTGAAAAAAGTAAAACAAGGTTTTTTTTAATTTTTTGGCTCTAATTTTTTTATTTAGTACAAGTAGGCAAAGAAAATTGTTGTACAAAAAAACTAGATAAGATTCCCTTCAAAATGGTGCGTTTTCAAAAGTTTTTGGATTAATTTTTACTGTTATAATCGGTTAAGCTTATATATTTTTTAGATTTTCGTTTTAAACAAAATAGTGAAAAAAGTAAAAAAAAACAAAAATTCTTATTTTTTTGTATGGTTTAAAATAGTTTATTAACGATTTTTTTGCATAAAATTTTTGTTTTAAATTTTTTAAATATGCGTTTTCGATGGGAAATTCAATTCTCTACAAAATTTTTCCTATGAACTATACCGAAATTTTGTTTCGTTTTCGTGCTGTATTTAAAAAACTGCAAAAGTGCATTTTCACCCCTATCTTCAATTTCAACCCTCTAATTTTCATTTTTAATGACCCTTCGAACAAGTCATGTGATAAAAATCCTTGAACGTCTTATTTCCTCCCTTTTTTGCTAAAAAATTCTCATCCAAAAATACTGTACAACCTCTCTTTTTGAAGGAAATTTTATCTACTTTTTTTATGAAGCAATGCCTATACATATCTTTACTCAAACAAAAAAACTAGAAAAATCTAATTTTTTGCTTTTTTCAGATTGTTTATTAACGATTTTTTGCATAAAATTTCCCTTTAAATAAGCCATTTTGATGGGAAATTCAATTATCTAAATAATTTTTCCTATGAACTATAGCGAAATTTTGCTTCGTTTTCGAGCTACAATTAAAAGACTGAAAGGGGTGTATTTTCACCCCTATCTCCAATTTGCACCATCTAATTTAATAGCACTCCGCGTTTTTTCCATCTAAAATGACCATTTGAACGATTCATGTAATAAAATATCTTGAATCCTATAATCAATAGCCTATATATACTTAGGTATGTTTAATATTTGTTCCAATTTAAATAGGTACAGTTAACAATTCTGTACACAATCTGTTTTTTTCAAAAGTTTCAACCGTTATGACCAAAATTCGCAAGTACTGACATGAGCAGAAGAAGCACAATAACACTACTGTTTTTTTTTTTGTAATATTTTTTTAATTAATTTCGCTTTTTCGTATAGTAAACTATGAGAAATTGGGCAAATAATCGAACCCGTTTGGTTCTGCGACTAAATTTTTCCACTCTCACACACAATTAAAACGATTTTGACGGTAGCAGATAATGGTATTACAACTTAAAAACTATCGTGTAAAAAATTCACACGTTATTGTCTTATATGTGGAACATTATTTGTGCAACATGACGCCAGCAAAATATTACAATGGCTAGAGTTGCGTCATAGAGGCTAGTATACAATGAAGAAATCTCGGAAGAAATAAAACACAGCGGAGAAATAGGGTCTTCTAAACTGCCAAAATTTTTTTGTGCCACGGTGTATTTCATTTTGGGCTCGAAAAATGTTTTTCTCCAACTTTCCTTTTTAAAAAAGGTAATACAGAGCTCATACCTTTGAGACTACTGCATTTATTTCGGCTTTAATTCCTCGATACTTTTGTGAAAGTTTTTAAAATAAAGAAATTTTGTTTTTAAAAACCCAAACCGCTCGGCATAAAAGTGATCTCGCGCTAGCCTTACCGCAGGCGCCGTTTCAAAACTAATTTATTTTTGTCAGAAACTAGGTATAATAATTGAAATTTTCAAAATAAATTTGACGCTTAAACTTGTTTCATGTGCTTCAATTGCTGGAGATATATTACAAACCTTTTTTGGGTGCTTTTTTCAGCTTTATTTTCAAGAGAAAAAAATGTGTACTCATTTTAATGGTTAGTGCGCGTATCTGTGGCCTTTCAACTGTAATTTTTAATACAAATTAAAAAATAGCGAACAATCTCTCTGGTCGAATCAACGTCAAACGTTGCGACGCGATTGTTCGCGTTCGGAGGCACATACCGAACAAGATTAATTCTGTGTCTATCCCGACACAATTGGGCATGGTCGAGGGATGGCTTGCCTTGAGACTGATAAAGCTTTGAGTGCCGGGCTTATTGTCCTTATCGCGAAACCCTTTCACCGTACCCGCCTTACCCTCGCTGATGAATTTACAACGAAGTATTTATCGGTGTACTTTTGCTGCTTTGCATAACACACATGCCCGATTTAGGGTTTAATAACGCACGCATAAATGATTCCGGGCGATACGTCTACCTCTGATTCAGTTAAAATTCTCCTACGCGATGCCGGATTTCGGTCGTGGGACTCATGGGCATGGGCGTCGTCAGAAAATTTTACAAGCGGGGGCGAAGATAATCTCTATTTTATTTTTTTTTTCGAAAAACTTGGAAATACATACGGAGTGAGTGACATTCGACCTAATCTCCAAAATTTTAGTCTACGTTTAACTCCTCAAAAGCAACAATTTTTGTCCAATGTTGTATTTGTTCGAGCACGTCTTAGTTTTTAAGATTTTTTTAAATTCTAAATTTTGTTTACCCGCCACTGGGGCATAAGTAGAAACGTTTAGCTGAACTAATAATAATTTAGCGCTAGTATTTATTCTGGAAAAAAATTAAGACAGTTAAAATTTTGGCCCTTATTTCAGGGACACTCTGTACAGTTGAAACATTGAGATGTTACTTTGAAAAAAATCTTTAATGCCAATTATCTGGGAAAAAATATCTAACTTTCTAGATCATAGCCAACTACGATTACCAGTTAAAAATATATGTATAAGCTCTTTATAGCTTTATAACCAGGTCAACAACCACTTAAAAAAAATTAAAGATTTTTTTTGACAGTCGGATTTGTCTTTAAAATCGAATTTTTTTATTTTAAATAGTCGGTGGGATGCCTTGAAATCCCAGAGAATTTTACCCACCCTGTACAGCAATCCTTCCAATATTACAATTAATTTTAGCTTGATAAATGAGCGCTTGTAAAAACCGAAAAATAAAATTACCCACATTCGTTACAATTTATTTTTTCCGCTCCAAATTGTCTTTTAATTGGTACCATCAAATATTACTAAAACTTTTTACACATAAAATTATACAAATCCGAAAGGAA